GAAGAAGAACCACTACTTGAGATCATGCCTTCGTTACACAGTCGACCCCGTCCTTAGTCTCATCTCCACGACCAACAAAGTGAGGCCCTTAGGTTCAAGTCCCGCATGAATCCCTCCACACACACACACACGGATACGCCGCACACAAATGCATAGTTGCGAGTTTTTTATTACATCATGCAATTTGTCATCGCTGTCTGTACCATTGTTACCAACATTTTCTGCCACTGGAATTGCGACCAAAAGCCATTGAGGGAACCGGCACGGGTAACGTTGGTTTATCTGGCTGGGTCAGCCAATCCCTCATCCCATCCTCGTCCTTTGCAGCGAGCTCTTAAAATAATGTCGCTCATTAAAAAAAATCATCACCGACTCTTTTCTATTGTCACAACTTTGCTACCAGTACTGTTTGTTGCTGGCCGCTTGACGTTTTGGCTGTTTTTTTGTGCCCCGTGCCGAACTGTTCTAAAATCAAAAAATATTCATCGTTAAAACAAAACTGGAATCTTTAAGCAAGAGCAGATAAAGTAAACCGCGTGTGCGTGCCGCTGCTGCAGCATCAGCACACGGTGCATTAGAGCTTCACCTCCCTCCTACAGCGGAGAGCGAACTTTGGTGCAGCAAGGGCCCGCACCAGCAGAGCGAACTATCTGGTGCAGCAAGGACCCGCACCAGCAGAGCGCACTACCTGGTGCAGCAAGGGCCCGCACCAGCAGAGCGAGCTCTCTGGTGCAGCAAGGACCCGCACCAGCAGAGCGCACTACCTGGCGCAGCAAGGGCCCGCACCAGCAGAGCGAACTATCTGGTGCAGCAAGGACCCGCACCAGCAGAGCGCACTACCTGGTGCAGCAAGGGCCCGCACCAGCAGAGCGAACTCTCTGGTGCAGCAAGAGCCCGCACCAGCTGAGCGAACTATCTGGTGCAGCAAGGGCCCGCACCAGCAGAGCGAGCTCTCTGGTGCAGCAAGGGCCTGCACCAGCAGAGCGAACTCTCTGGTGCAGCAAGAGCCCGCACCAGCAGAGCGAGCTCTCTGGTGCAGCAAGGGCCCGCACCAGCAGAGCGAGCTCTCTGGTGCAGCAAGAGCCCGCACCAGCAGAGCGAGCTCTCTGGTGCAGCAAGAGCCCGCACCAGCAGAGCGAGCTCTCTGGTGCAGCAAGGGCCCGCACCAGCAGAGCGAGCTCTCTGGTGCAGCAAGAGCCCGCACCAGCAGAGCGAGCTCTCTGGTGCAGCAAGGGCCCCCATCCGCCGTGTGGGCCGGCGAGGCGAGAGGTCAGCGGCAAGGCACGCACACACACAAGACAAAGATCCCCCGTATAGCCTGAACAGACTGTAGGGGCAAGTGCCGTTAGCGAGCACCTATTAAGGCCAGCACGCCACACGAAGGGGGTGGGTGGCCAGCACCACGCCTTTGTCTCCCTAGTGGCGAAGTTTACACACCGCACCAGGTACTCATTTGAGGCTGAGTCGACCTAGCAGATGCCCAAGACCGGTTCAGATATATAATCGTCACTGGTGTTGGCCGTGCGTGGGGATCGAACTCGGGTCGCCAGGTTCGTAGTGCGGCACGCCAACTGCTACACTACCGCTCCCCACACACAATCGGAATCAGTCACACACCTCTGTCATACACTCAAATATACAACAAAAGACAATAATCCCCTGTAAAGCCTCAGACTTTTTTTAGGAAAGTGCATCTGCCCACACACTCATTTGCACACATTCACGTAAAAGAGAGATTCCGACACGCAGCCTCCACACACTGTTGGGGCGAGTGCCGTCACGTTAGTCTCCCCCAGCGTCGATGTCCACAAGTAGAACCCCTCTCAGCGGCCACCCTGTTGTTCACGACCAATCCCTTCACGACGCGCCTCCCGAGAGCCCAATGTGTTCGCATACCGAACACTCCCCGTTAACGATGGGCTGTTTAAGGTGCAGTAAATATCAATGAATGCATTGATTAACCATGTTTATTTTTATATTGTTTATCACGTCGTTAGTATCTGTATGTATTGATATCAATTGTTTAAGTATTATAAAGTATGTTTTTTGGGTGAAAAGGGTAACTTTCGATGCTATCGGAACGAATTAGGCCTTTAACGTGCATCTCCTATCCTCGCTTCATGACCGAATCACTTAACGACCGATTTCGTGGAAACCAATTACCGTCGTTGAGAGGGCTTCTTCTACACACCGCACCAGGCACCCATTTAAGGCTGAGTCGGCCTAGGGGAGGGCCCGGGACCGCTTCAGTTATCCAGCACCGATGTTGGTGGCCGTGAGTGGGGGGAACTGAACGTGGGTTACTGGGTTTCGTGGGGGGCAGTGTGCGCTCGTCACTACGCCACCGCCGCTCCCCCACAGTCGCGCACATTGCAGGGTCAGGCCAACAGATTAGAAAAGATCGTGATGGGGGTGGAGCTTGGAATAAACATCTTGTGTTTGGGTGAAATGAGTATTAGGTTTTTAGATTAGGAATAGTTAAGCGTAGGGTTTGGGGTTTCAATTACGTCTAGGGGTAGGGTTAAAGTTAAGCTTAGGAAAAGCATTTGAGGTGAAGTAAAGATTAATATATCGGGTTAAGATTAGGCACAATTTGAGAGGACGAGTATGGACTGGATTAGGCGGTCACAAGGCTCGGCGTGGGGTTAACAACAGGATTAGCGACAGGGCGAGGGGAGAAATATAGATTTTTTAAGCAGCACGCTTTTCCGAAGGGCTCCGCCCGGTGGCAACAGACATTCGTCTGTTACACACGAGTCCTTCCCACGACCAGAACACAGCAAAGTTCTACGCATCGATTCGTTCTGCGAGCAAACAGAAAATGAGGGCTGAACATCTGGCGCTTGATCCCATCACCCAGAGCTGAAGCATCTGCAGCAATAATTATTTGTAGTCGCGTGACTACGTCAGGCGGTTGTGGAGATGCGCACACCCAACAGATGAAATGCACTTCATTAAGGGTACACGATCGTACTAAATTACAGCAACGTGTTAACAGTGGTATAGCTCACTATTATATTGAAACCAAAGGTCACGGAGCTTTACGCTCCTTTTCAGAGGCGACCGAGCAACACGTGATAGCTCATCCAAGTGGCTTATATCGTCACTTCGGGGAATTATAGCATCAGCCAAATAACGGCAAAGCATGTTTCGAAATGTGGAGTAGAGGGTGCAGGACCGAGGAAGCCAGAGAACAATTCACGCAACCACCACGGGAAGCGAGAACACGCAGACGCCAAATATACCACAACAGGCATCCCCAGATCGGGGATTGAACCCATGACCTCCTACGTGCCAGACGAGCGAGATAACTAACATCTCCTCGCCAGCGTGGGTGCCCTGCTTCATATTGCGGGCAAAGTCAAGATAAGATGTACACCATCTGCTTCAGAGGAGACTTTAAATGTCCTCTGACATCTTCCGAAAACAAGTTGGCCAAGTGTTGCCCCCTGCCGCGGTGACAAGAAGGTAACTACCCTACCTGGTGGGCAGGAGGTCGTGGGTTCGATCCTAACCCTGACACCTGCTCTATATTTGGGGTTTGCATGTCTCTCTCCCCGTGATCGCGTGGATTTTTCTCCAGCTCCTCCGGGTTTCCCTGCATATTTAGAAACACGCGTTTTAGAGTATTTGGCCGCTCTAAATGTCCACGTGATGATACGCCGCTTCGTTGAGCTGTCATTTGTGATAGCAAAGTCGCTTCTGAAAAATAGCTACATAGCTCAGTGGGCCTCACCTGGTGAAATAACAAGTTTAGTTTATTTTTTATTTGAAAACATAACGTGCAAATGAGTTAAATTTCGATTTAAAGCTTTCGTGACTGCAGGGATTAATCTTCTTGGTTCTTTCGGTAAAGTCACGTAGAAGGGAAATAATAAAAAGATGCAAATGAGTTGTTTGTAACGTTACAATGCAAGCTCGACAACGATGCGTCGCACGCATTTCGGGGATGCGTTGTTGGACTTTGCGTGCAATGTCAAGCTGCGGGAGCTCCTGGACTGTCGGCGCGACTACCTGGGGGATGCAAGATCAGCATCGCACCTCGGGGCGAGGGCGTCTGGCGTTAACGGGTATCTTGCTCGAACTGAACGATGCACATTTTTCATTTCTTTAAAACTGATTTTTGTGTTCAGTTGATTGCGTTTCCCCCCGCCGCACCTCCGATTAGCACGGTTAGCCACGTACGGCGGTGCGTAAGAAGTTCTACGCACCCACGTACGCACCCACGTACGCACACACGTACGCACACACAGGGCTCGTTTTGGTTTTAGGGCCTGCGGGCACTCACTGGGTGCGAAATCGTCGCCCGTGGAAATGTGACGGTAACTAGCCCAGCGGCGAGGACGAAATGAAAGACAATTGCCCTCGGACGTTGTGAAATACCCTGTCAGAGTGGCTGGCTCTCTTGCACCCCCAGAACTTAACCTGGAGGATGCGTTGCGAAAAACGCGTAGGGTGAAGATTAGGGATAGAGTTAAGCATAGGAATCGGCTTAAAATCAGGATTAAGATTAGGAATAGAGTTAGAGGTAGGATTATGAATATGGTTAGGAATCAGGGTTTAAGGTTATGGATCGGTGCTTGTTAACTTTGATGAAGGTTGTGCTCAGTGGTGAGGGGACAGATGAGGTATATGGTTATATCTCAGAGAAGCCAAGGTGCAGCTTTGTACTGGCAAGTGCAGGTGAGTAGAGAGGAGTGAGGGATGGTAACTGCTGGCATGTGAGTCAAGGTGAGTCAAGGTGAGTTCACGCGAGTGTAGGCAGGTTACAGGTGAGTGGAGGCGATTGCCAGTAAGAGCTCGTGAGATTATGACCGTGCAGGTAAGTTAACAGGCATGTGGATGCAAGAACAACAAGTCACTGGCGAGCACTAATCATTACACAGGCGAGTGCATGTAAGCATAGCCGAGGTCCGCTGAGTAGAAATGAAAGGAGTGCAGGTGACTCACAGGTGAGTACTGGCTGCCGGGGGGGGGGGGGGGGGGGCCTGTGAGACGGGGGGGGGGGGGGGGTGCACGCAGCACGATGCCTCTTCACGATGATGCCACGGCGGTTGTGGCGGAGGTCGTGGTCGCGACGTCGCCGGGTTTGGCAGAATCCTCCGCGCAGATGATGCGCAGGTACTCCTCCTCGACGCCTTGCTCCTGCCAGAAGCAAATACAGTGTCCTCCGTTTCACTGACGAGGCCCCAAAAAACACTGAAACGGCTCTTCGCCTTCATTATAAAAGGCAACACTATTGAATGAAGGTGAAAAGTCGTTTTCGTTTTTGGTAAAATATCACAAACCCCATTAAAAACGGGACAATCCAACGAGCAGGCTGGAAACAGTTTTAATAAACACACAACGGTGTGCTGCTGCTGCTGCCGCCGCTGCTTGCCGCTCCCAAGCGGCAGGCAGGCGCGAGACTCCCATCCGTACGCTTTGCGTGTGTGCGCCTTGTGAGCACCGCATTGCATGTTCAACGCTCTCAGCCTGTGAAACAGTGACGGGTCCCCGAAAGAGGAAATCTCCAGTTCACAGCTGTCCCAATGATTTGCGACGGCCATATTTCCTATTTATTTTAGTGTTGGTGCTCTTTAAACAATAATAAAGGCACACACGTTCGGCTCTTTTGAGTTGGTGGTCTAGACGAGGCCGAGAGCATTATGCGTGCGATGTGGGGCGGCGGGTCGGGGTGGGGGGGGGTCACGTGACGGGCAGCGGTACCAGGGCGCATCTCTCGGCCATGTAGAACAGATCGGTGAGCGCCCTCTGCAGCTGGGGGAGCAGCCTGCGCCTCAGCGGCACGCTCCCCTCCTGCTCCCGGTGCTCCCAGCCGGCGCCGTCCCCCGTGCCGCGCTCCTCCAGCTCCAACAGCAAGCTCCAGAGCGGGCGCAGGTGCAGCAGGTGGCAGGTCCTGGGTGGCACGGGGAGCGGACGCGGGCGTGAGTGGAGCGGTTGGCCCTGCCAGCGATCCGCCCTCCCTCCCAGTGATGAGAGGAATTGTCCCGGTCTGGGATCGTGGTCGTGGTGGCGGTGGTCGTTACGGCAGTGGTCATGGCGGTTGATGCTAGGCACCCTGACGGTGCTGCTGTAGTTGATGGTGGTAGTCGCGGTGGTAGTGGTCATGGAGGTGGTAGTGATGTTGGTTGTGATGACGATAGACACACTGACGGTGGAGTGGTAGTGATGTAGGTAGTAGGATTGTGGGTTCTGCTGCTGTGGTTGATGATGGTTGTTACGTAGGTGAAAGTGATGTTAGTATTGATGACGAGACACACTGACGGTGGAGGTGTTGATGGTCGTTATGACAGCAGCAATGTCGGTCATTGTGATGGAAATGGTGGTGGCGGTCGTGACGATTCTAGACACACCGACGGTCGTGGTCGTGGTGGTGGTGGCGATATTGGTTCTGCTGCTGCCGTTGCTGTAGGTCTATCCGGGCCCCTGTGGGCCTCTTACCCTCGCTCGTGCTGCAGCATCTCCAGCAGCCCCTGCAGGAGGTGCACGGCCTGCAGCCGCTGCTCGCCCGTGTGGCCGCACGCCGCGGCCGCCACCCAGGCCCACAGCTCGCCGGCCACTCGGGGCACCAGCGGCGCCACCGCTCGCAGGATGGCGAAGCCTGCAGCGGCGCGACAGACATCGATGCACCGGCGCACGTGGGACACGCGGCACCCCATGCCGTACTACGATTAAAAACAATCGATGCCTCGAGTTGCCTGGCTGGCTGCTGGCTGGGCTACTCTCCACCCCAACGATAACTCTGTTGTTAGTGGCTGTGGGCCCTTGCCTCCGAAACTAGCTGGGTAAGTGGCTCCACGAGATGTTCTGCGCAACGTATTAAAAACACTTGGATTGTAATGGCGGAAGAAGTTTGGAAGACGTTAAATAATCGATAGCGATGCCACAGAGGTGGGAATGAGGAATGCAGAAGGCTGACAGGGTTAATTTGAAATAGCTCTAACTTTTACATTTGGGGTCCTATTAATGGAATAATTTCACCCTGCATCGATTGTGATGTTTCTGGAACCTAATTTTACTATGAACGGTTAATACAAGTAATTTTACCAAGCCAGGTTTTTTGTCGCACGAAATGTATTCCATTTGTTACAGATTTATATTCCTGCATGCCTGTAAATGTCTTCTGTAACACACGCGATTGTTTTTAGCACTCATTTCGATTTACTTTATTGTCTTTACACAAATGCTTTTGCCACTGTGGTGACCCGGGGTCACTTCTTGCAAAATGAGACTCATCATCACCTGCGTCTCTAAACTTCTCGACCGGTTCAACAAAACCTGACACCGCCATCCGCGAGCCGCACACACGCACTTGCTCGCCGTAAACATTGCCGAAATGGACGGCGGTCTCAAGGCACGGCGTGGCAGCAGTACCTGCGTAGAAAAGTCCGTAGGACTTGGCCACCACCGTGAACTGATAGCCCCAGTCCTGCTGCCGGCTGCCTGTGAACTTGTAGCACAGCATGTCCCCTGTAGGGGGAGCACGAGGGTCAGGATCCCACCCTTGTGAACTTGCACGTGTTGACGGGGGGGGGGGGGGCACGTGCTGTTAATGCTGGCAGGGCGCACGAGCGGGTGGGGTGTGGCCGGCACCACGCCCGGCCGCCCCTCGCCTCTCCAATTCCGATGTTGACACACCGCACCGACGATGATACGCCGCACCGACGATGATACGCCGCCCCGACGATGACACGCCGCCCCGACGACTCGCGGAAGTCCGAGTCGACCCGGGGAAGGCCCATGACCAGCTCGGGTAATTACCGGTTATGTTAAACCCTGAGCGGGAATCGGAACTCTGTTGGCCAGGTGTTATGCGCTAACCACTGCACCACCAATCCTCGCTCACACACACACCCCCATTATTGGCACATCTGATGGAGCAGAGGTGGACACCCATCAGTGTGTGCCCCACCCCCCCACACTGACTCCCCCCACCCCACCTGATGGACCCCACAGACCCCACTGTGGCACCCCACTCGGCCTCACCCCCCCTAATGAGCTACTCAACACACCCTTACTTTAAAGCGAGATTGAAAACTCATTTCTTCAAAAGTGATTTTGTCTTTAGTTTGTTGTCCTTCCCCCGCACCTCCGATTAGCATGGGTGGCTACGTATGGTGCGAAAGAAGTTCAATATACACACACACACCTACTGCCACCGCCACCGTCAACCCACAACGGCACCGCCCACTCCACCCACTAGCACCGCCCACCCCACACTGGCACCGCCCTCCCCACTCACTCGGCAGCGCCCACCCCACACTCGCACGGGCCTCACCGGCGATGCTGAAGGGCTCCCAGTAGTCTGCGGGGCCGCAGCGTTCGTGGCGGTGAAGGTCGTGGGTTGGCACGGTGGAGACGATGAGCTGGTCGTTGGTGGAGCCAGTGCTGCAGCACGGGTGCAGGCACACTGACAGGAACGCCGCCCCCGGGAAGTAGAGACTCTCCTGCGAGAGGAGGGAACAGCCGCAGCAGCAGCAATAGCAGCAGCAGCAGCTTCTGTTACATTTTTTATTTAGGATTTGTCTCGCGCGCAGTTTTCGGTCACTGTTGGAGAGAGCGATGGGTTTCGCGGCGCCTCTGAATCGGACAAGCTGGAAGCGGCGCCAACAATTTCCCAAGCTCTGCGGTCCCAACATTGTGATGATTGGGTTGTTTACGCATGTGGCAGAAAGCCGCAGTACCTGCAGAAAACCCACGTGTGCAAAGGGGGGGGGGGTGTAACACAGATGGAATACAGGTGGAAATTAATCCGCTTGCTGGGCTGCGATCGTACCCTGGCAAGCCAGTTGGTGACCGACGCCCATGGGTAGCGGAGAGAGTTTCACAAATCTGTGGTGATCCACCAACTCCCGCTGCCTCCACAGTGCTGGATTACAGGCCGCCGGTTCAATCTCCCGGCACGGCAGTTCAAACTACGGAGCAAGTTTCTTAAATCTCCCCAATCCGGCCACTGCCTGCATCTCTCCAGCAGCACAAATTGGTCCACCAGTCGATCAGCGACCACGTCGAATGGTTCGAATGGTTCCACAGGTGGACATTCGGTGGCAGGGTCGGTGAGCAGGTGAATGTGTGGCTGGGCGAGCGGGTGAGTGAGCGAGTGGGTCAACAGAGTGAACAAGTGGGCGTGTGAGCGGGTGGTGGATGAGAGGCCGAGCGGGCGAGCGGGTGACGCACCTCACGCTTGTACTCGCTTGGGTAGGGGTGCGGCGATTCCCGCATGCGCTGCACCACCACGGGCTCCGCCAGGAAGCGAGCGGCAGTAAGCGCCAGGGCCTCCAGCAGGGGAGGGTCGCAGTGTGGCACCACCTCCTCCAGTATCTAGACCCCCACCATCGTCATCATCATCGTCGTCGCCAGCCATTGGCATCAGTGACAACATCACCATCTCCCATCAACAGCAGCACGAACCGCAACCACCATCATCGCCGCCGCCGTCGTCGTCGTCATCATCACCACGACCACAACCGTCATCACCACTTACGGATCATTATGTGAGTAAATGGATCTCTATGCGAATCTCTGTGTCTATGTAAGGCTGTCTAAGCTATTGGTGACTGGGCTAAGACTTTTTTAGCTAAAAAAATTAGTAAATGTTGTGGTTTCACGCTTAAACACACCCGTGGGCTAAAAAACACACCCGTGGGCTAAACTATTTGTCTTTTGTCAACGTGACACTTTTGTTGCTGATTGGCCGTGTCGGCTGGTGGAGGGTTACGACACATTTATAAATAACGCGATCTAACCCAAAAACGTTGATTACGAGTTTATTTTGTTTAACGGTTCAGAACTCAAGAGACGCGGATGAGTCTCGTATGCAAGTGACTTGGGGTACTACTCTCCCAGTAGGGGGCAAAGATTACTGCTGTGGGTATGATCCAAATTGAGTAATTTGCAGTGTAATTGTCGAATTTGGCCAATTCGGACCCTGACGCCAGCACACAATGGGCTACCCTTGCCATCTTTACCGTCCACTTCGAAGCAGACGCGGCGTAGTGTCAGTACGATTAACGCGCACCGCACTAATAACCAGGGCGGCCTGCCGGATTTGAAACCGTGAACCTCCGAAAGCAAGCGGCGAACGCGCTACCGCTGGGCCGGTGGTCACCGCCAAGTTTCAGCGGCGGATTTATCGGACCAAAACCCGGATTCGAACCCAGGGTCTCCGTGGCGCCGGCTCCGTGCTCCGACCCCTGGACCACCTTCAGGTTATAAGCTGACAAGACATTTTTAACAGGGGGCCCACGACGCCGGGCGACGTCATCGCAACAACCGCCTCACCTTCTGAAGCTTCTCCGGGCCATCTTGCTTCAGGAGTATATCGAGCAGGTAGGCCATGTGACTCGGCTCGGCCAATCCCAGCGCTTCGTGAACGGCTCGGACCCCGAAGGCCGACCAGTGGCACAGCAGGTGCGAGATCATGTGACGTGCGCACAGGGTGGCGAAGGCGTGGGTGATCTGCGAGCGGGAGGACCCCGCGGTGGAGCCCGAAGTCGCCCCCTTGCGTGGTTGCAGGGCCCTGAGTGTGTGGGGACACAGGGAGGCCAGGTCAACAACAACAACAACGACGACAATGGGATCAACAATAACAATGGGATAAACAATGGGATAAACAACGGCAGAGGAGAGGAGTAGAGAGTAGAGGAGAGTAAAGTAGAAGAGTGCTGTAGGAGAGAGTAGAGTTGTACAGATTACACAGGTGGGGGAGGAGAGATGAGGAGTGAATAGTGGTGGAGTGAATAATAAAGGAAGGAGTACAGTTTATGTCGACCTGGGATTTCCCTCCTCCACTCACTGCTGCAGGGCATGGTAGAGTAGGCAAGTGGACAGTAGAGTAGAGGAGAAGGTGGATAGTAGAGTAATGTAGATTAGAGTGGTCTAGAGTAGAGTGATGTAGGGCGATTCAGATCTGGGTGCCCCCTCCGCTTACTTGTGCAGGATCTGGAACACTTGGGTAGAGTGGAGATCAGGGTACAGAGAGTAGCGGAGGGTGATGTAGATATTGGTGCGACACTCTCTGCTGCAGGAGCTGCACGAGTACAGGCTGGTGGAGAGTGGAGGATTGTGCAGAGTACAGGAGAGTAGCGAGATGGGTAGAGTGGAGTGATGTCGACACGTGGCACTCACTGCTGCAGGAGCTGGGCGCTGCGCTGGCGGACGATCTTGCCCGCCGTCGCGGTGAGCACCGGCTCCTCACTGCACACCGCGACCGGCACGGCCGCCACGGCGTTGTAGGGCACCACCCGGCGGCATACCCCCGGCACCGGCTACACCGCACACACAGGATTAGCTGCTCGGATAATCCTCTCATCGCTCGGCATCGTCAGCAGCGTCATCGTCGACAGCATCGGAATCTTGGTTAAGTTGCATCAAAACCATCATCATCGGTGTCATTGTCGACATCGCCACCACCATCAGTGTTATCATCGGTTATTGTCACGATCATCATCGTCGTCATCAACAACAACGTTGAGTGTAATGTTTTTTTTTTTACAGCGTCGTCAATTGCAAAATCGCTGTGGAACCACAGATGCCGAGCTGGAAGGCAGCAGCCAGGCGGTGAGCCGGCGCGACCAACAATTGCCCAAGCTCCGCCGCCCTCTCTATATTAAGATGATTTCAGGAAATGAATGACGAGCGTGTATACATGTGGGAGTAAACCAGAGAAAACCCACGCGTGCAAGCGGGCAACGCTCGATCCCGTGAGAGAAGCGACAGATGGAGATCAGCCCGCAATTTGCTGTACCGCCCCCGGCTCGTGGCGACCCAAGCAACAATGCGGGTCACCGTCTAGAAGAAGGCCTCCCCACGTGTCACAATGGGTAATGTGCACCGATTGGCAGCATTGCTGCACGGCCACAGCGGCTCACTGCCGTCAGGGACCCCCCCCCAACCCCCGGCGGGGCTCACCTTGGCGGGCAGCACCACGGCGCCGCGGTCCAAGTGGGTTTCCCAGGGCACCTGGGGGGCCGAGGCATCGACAGGAGCCGCCCGCGCCATGCCCTCCTCCTCCCCCCCCGTCAGCGATGAGCCCCCCAACCTGAACCGCGTGGCGACAAAGGCAAAGATCCCCCGTGTAGCCTTGAACAGACTGTTGGTGCAAGTGCCGTTCAGCGAGCGCCTATGAAGGCCGACAGCACGTGGGGAGGTGGTGACTAGCACCATGCCTTGGCGATGTTTACACACTGCACCAGATACTCGTTATGAGGCTGAGACGACTTAGGACTGGTACAGATCATCATCACTGGTGTTGGCCATGAGCGGAAATTGAACTCTGGTCGACGGGTTCATAGCACAATGTGTTAACCGCTACACTACGGCGTGGTGACAGGGAGGCAGGCGGGGCAGGCGGGGCAGGCGGGGCAGGCGGGGCAGGGGAGGGAGTTTGAGTGGAGGAGGATGAGCTCACTGTTTGTGCAGCTCGAGTGCGAACGAGTGGAGCGGGCCGGAGTGGCGCTCCCACAGCGCTCGCAGGTCATGCGGCTCGGCGCCCAGAGAATCCCGGCACAGCTGCAGGCGGGGGAGGGGGGGGAGAGAACCGCATGCTTCCTCACCATTCCCAATGTCAGAGCTTGCACAACAAGCGGCTGGTTGTCATGCCGACGACGATGGCGACGACAATGACGACCAAAATGACGATGGCAAAGACAATAATGTTGAGAAAGATGAAGACAATGATGACTTTGATGTTGATGACAATTATGACGAAGATAACGCATATGATGACAGACACAGGTTGAAGATGACTATAATGATGCTGCCAAATATGAAGGCACAGGCGCACAGATGACTGTGATGAGATCAATAATGATGCCAAGGATGATGATGATTCATGATGATAACCGATGATGGCTAAGACCATCGTCACAGGCTAGCGACGCCGAATGCGCTGAAGGCACCGTGCGTGCTCCAAGCGTCCTCACACACCTTGAGTAAGACTTTGGTGGGCTCCGGCAGGTTCTCCAGGGGGTCTTCAGGACTCGCACCAGCACTGTCCACCTCCTCATCGTCTTCCTCCTCCTCCACCCCATCTCCCTGTGGTCTCCCCTTGGGATCCTGCTCCTCCGCAGGCTGGGCCGAGGGGGTCACTGGAGAATTCCCGGGGTCCCCTACACCGGGGTCCCTTACACCGGGGTCCCTTACACCGGGGTCCCTTACACCGGGGTCCCTTACACCGGGGTCCCTTACACCGGGGTCCCTTACACCGCGATCCCCTACACCGGGGTCCCCTACACCGGGGTCCCCTACACCGGGGTCCCCCCCTTCACTGGGGTCTCCTTCTCCGAGGTACTGCATCAGGGATAGCATCTGGGGTAGAGAACAGCGAGAGGGACACTCCCCATTAACGACGCGCCACCAGCAGCAGCGTCAGTAACAACAGCATCAGTACCAGCAAAGCCAGCACTACCAGCACCAGCTGCCAAGCCGCAATAATCAACAACAGCCTCACCACCACCACCACCACCCTCGTCTTTCTAACCACCAGCATCCTCGCCACCCTTACCAGGCTCACCACCCCTCCCACCAACCGTATCACCCTTGCGAGCCTCACCACGCCAATCACTCTCTCCGCCATGCTGACCACCCGTATACCGGCCTCGCGCCACCCTCACCGCGCTCACCACCCTCGCCACGCTCGCCACCCTCGCCACGCTCGCCACCCTCGCCACGCTCGCCACGCTCGCCACCCTCGCCACGCTCGCCACGCTCGCCACCCTCGCCACGCTCGCCACGCTCGCCACGCTCGCCACGCTCGCCACGCTCGCCACGCTCGCCACGCTCGCCACGCTCGCCACCCTCGCCACGCTCGCCACCCTCGCCACGCTCGCCACCCTCGCCACGCTCACCACGCTCGCCACGCTCACCACCCTCGCCACGCTCACCGCCCTCGCCACGCTCACCGCGCTCGCCACGCTCACCACGCTCACTACCCTCGCCACGCTCACCACCCTCGCCACGCTCACCACCCTCGCCACGCTCACCGCCCTCGCCACGCTCACCACGCTCACCAGCCTCGCCACGCTCACCGTGCTCGCCACGCTCACCACCCTCACCACGCTCATCACCCTCACCACGCTCACCACCCTCGCCACGCTCACCACACTCACCACGCTCACCGCGCTCGCCACGCTCACCACCCTCACCACGCTCACCACCCTCACCGCGCTCGCCACGCTCACCACCCTCGCCACGCTCACCACGCTCACCACGCTCGCCACGCTCACCACCCTCACCGCGCTCGCCACGCTCACCACCCTCACCGCGCTCGCCACCCTCGCCGCGCTCTCCACGCTCACCACCCTCGCCGGGTGGCCTCACCTGGAGCTCGGGCAGGAGCCAGGCCGAGCTCAACCCCGTGCCCCTCAGCGCCAGCGGCCCCAGCTGCGGCAGGAGGCTGGATCGGAAGATGGCGGCCAGTGCCTCGCCCTGCGCCTCACCGTCCTGTGAGCTCTGAGTCGGCATGGGCACCACAGAATACATGTGATGTGTGTATAGATGTGTATACTGGTGTGTATATAGATGTGTATACTGGTGTGTGTAGGGTACGTGTGTGTGTGTGTAGGGTGTGTGTGTGTGTGTGTGGTGGTGTACAAGACACGTGTGTGCGGTGGTGTACAGGACATGTGTGTGTGTGTGTGTAGGGTGTGTGTGTGGTGGTGTACAGGACGTGTGTGTGTGTGTAGGGTGTGTGTGTGTGGTGTACAGGACACGTGTGTGTGTGTGTAGGGTATGTGTGTGGTGGTGTACAGGACGTGTGTGTGTGTGTAGGGTATGTGTGTGGTGGTGTACAGGACACGTGTGTGTGTGTGTGTGTAGGGTATGTGTGTGGTGGTGTACAGGACACGAGTGTGTGTGTGTGCAGTACAGCAGTTATGTTCTTCGGTCCCCATATCCTCCATCACCCCTCTACCCATTGCCCGCCGCCCTCCCCATCAACCATCAACAACAACGGCCACCATGCGCCACCAAGTGGCGGTGACATCATCATGAAGCTTGTGCCAGGCTAGGTGCACTTTGAGGCCACGCGAAGTGTTGAAGGCTCGCTGGCAGGTCACGGGACACACTCAGGTGCCGTGGGTTGACCATCTCAAACCACCCACCCCACATCCCCCTCTGCCCTCCCCCATCGCCCATCTCTCCCAATACCCTCCCCCATCGCCCATCTCCAGTGGTCGCCGGTTCAGTTCCATCATCCCGACGCAACAGCTGAAGCAATGGAGCAAGTTTCTTAAATCGCCTTCTCCTCCATATACCCGGCAGTACAATTTGGTTACACCACAGCTTGTGATGTCAGCTTAGCAAGAGTACTCCAAATACCCTCCAGAGCTCCTTCCAGCGGATGCCTTTCTGTCAGCAGGTGGCACGAGCAGGGAATTGTCGGGCTGCGCCATCACCGCCTCTTCATGTGAACCCTGCTGGTGCCTCGTGGCTACCTGACCTGCAGCAGGTGCAGGATTGCCTTGAGGCTCAGGGCCAGCACCAGGGACTCGTTGTAGCTCAGCGCCACCCCCTCCGTCGCTCCCACAATCCTTTGCGGCAGAGAGGGCGGCTTGCCGGCCCGCTGCAGCAGGAGGCCGGCGATGCCGGTGAAGAGGAGGAGCCGCTCGGTGTGCTCGCTGACGCCCGGCGCCGCCATCACCACGTCCAGCGGGGCCCGTCCCTGCGGCGCCAGCTTCAGCGAGTCGTCGTCCACTGACGGCGCCGGTGGCGGCAAGAAGACAACGGGGTCGGCGAGAAACACGGTGAGAAGCCGCGAGCAAATCCTCGCCGACCGCTCACCATTATCCCCAAGTCCAGTATCCAAGCCGATCTGTATCTCTATTCCCGGCCCTAACCGAAACCCGAACCCCATCCTGAACCCCAACCCCCAAAGATCAGTTGCTTATCTCTAAGAAGACAAACAGAACCCAAACCCTAACTCTTCATAACCCTGTCGCCAAGCCTCTCCACATCCCTATCCAAAACCATAACTGTATCATCCCTGACCCTATCCATAACTCTAACCCTATCCATATGCATATCCCCTGAAGATTATCCATATCCAATTCACTAACCCCAACCCTATCACTGACCAACTCTTATCATAACTCTAACCCTATCCTTAACCCAAACCCCAACCTTTACCCCAAACCAAATCCCAAACTGATTCCCTATCCCTAACCCACTGACAACCCTCTTTTGTGAGTACGAAGACGAGTAAAAATGTTACATCTTGCAAATGATCCCAAAATACAAGGATTCAAAATTATCCTTAAAAATACGAAATACAATTTTATTTATCCAAAACTCACCCCCACCACACTGCATTGTATCATCTACCTGTGTCTGACCATAGGCTTTAGTATGTGATATTAATTTAACACGTAAAATATCACGATTCATAATTAACTTTTGGGTCAGGCCACGTGATGATCTGACCACTGAGACCGCTCCCACCACCCGACACGGCCAAAGCAAATTAAACGAGTCACTTTTGCGTGCAATCGTTTTAACGATGCGCCAATTGTCATCTTTTCAGCTCGCCCACCGAACTTGATCGATTTGAAAAGCGACGTTTTGATCGCAACTGCACAAAGCACATTCAGGACGAGATCCGGGAAGTGAGAATGAGCCGCGTGGGTGGTAGCGGCGGCGTGCACTCGCTTTCTCTCACCCTTGCAGAAGAGGCGCGTGCGACAATCCACTACGACGCTCTCCCGCTTCTCCGTGAAACGCCTGACCGCGACGACGTCATGCCGATGGCCGCTCGCGTCCTCCCGCTGGGCTCGCACGCCCAAACCCAGCACGCGCAGCTGGGTCACGGGGTCATGGGGTCACAGCGCACGTGGGGGTGGGGTCGAGAGGTCAGCGAGCAGGGTCACCGGGTCCGGGATAAAGGATCACGGCGTTAAGGTTGTCGGCAGGTGTGTTCACAAGGTGAGCACGTGAGGTCACAAGGTGAGCACGCGGGGAGACAGGGTCAGTAAATGGGGTCAAGGGGTCGGGGCAGATCGCACGTCTGCCTCAACTGCTCACAATTGGTTGTTCACGTGTAAGTAACGTCACCTCGCCAGCCCCATGAAGTTGCCTCCCTGACTTTACCTCCCTAGCCCTCCCTAGCCCCGTGACGTCACCTGCCTAGCCCCGTGACGTCACCTGCCTAGCCCCGTGACGTCACCTCGCTCGGGATGGCCGTTAAGAGCAGGTAGCTGATGTTGTCCCAGGAGAGGTCGCTGGGCAGACACGAGAGACGGTCGCTGCAGAACGAGCAGAGCGCTGGGCTCCAGCGGGGCTGCGCTGCGAGCGCGTGTAGAATAGCAGTGATGGCGCTAGCCCAGTCCAGCCGGCCAGTCCTGCGGGCATCAACCACGCACAGGTGGAGTCGGGGAGGTAAAGATACCGCTGCGGTTGGCAATTGCTTCATAACAGATTTTTGGGCTATGCCACTTAGCCATCTGGGCCAAGTTTGCATCGTAAGACTCTCCTGCCACCCAATATTTTAAAATTAAATTGCCTTGTGTACAAGCGTTTTTGTTTTTTAGATCACACCAGATAAAGAACAATTCTCTGAACCAAATGTCTCCATGAGATTCGACATTTCGTTTGAATCTGCCAGTGGAACGTTTTGCACGAGGAGAGAGCTCTGGTGCTGGCCCTTCCCAGGCGTCCAGGAAGAAGTGGGAGTACCCACGCCTTACCCCACCACACGCGACGGGCACAAGCGACTCCCTGCGGCGAACCCACTGCTGGGTGGACAGAGGCGTCGCGACGGACTTTAAGGAACTTGCACCGTTGTTTCAACTGTCGCGCCGGGAGATGGAATTGCCCTGGCGACCTCTGGTTTTATAAGTCTGGTGCTCTACTGACCGTTACACCACTGTGGAAGCTGCCCAGAGTATGGCAGAAGCGTGAGGCATTTATAGAGCCGCCTGCCAGGTGGCTCAAGAAGTCAGAGCGCCGGACCGGTACGCCTTCGATCCTGGTGCACACTCTGGGTTTTTGGCCGATTGTGAGCGAACTGAGCTCGATTCCCCACCACGGCCAACACCAGGGGCGATTGTCATCGGAGCTGGTGCTGGATCTCTCCCCCTCCCTTCATCATCCTGCAATGACCAATGTGGAGCATGGCAGCGACATGGGCCAGCGGTTCACGGGTCAAATTCGGCAGGCCACCAGAGTGAATTCGACGGTGTGTAGAACCCCTACGCAGCAGTGCCAATCAAAATCTGCTTCGGACACCAAGGTCATGTCGGTTCTCTGCCATCGCCCCCTCCGTGTGGAACTCTATCCCTTTGCACATCCACAACATCAAATGCACTCAGACTTTCAAGAAACATCTAAAGGCCTCTATCTGTTTGGTCAGGCTGATGGCCGCCCTGAGCGTGGCTCCGTGCTTCTGAGTTGACTTGTCTGCAAAATCTGACACGTTACGTCATTATTATTAATATATACGCAGTCATTTGCTTCACAGAGGAGATCAAGACCCTGTGACGTCGTTATGAAAGAGTAGGCCCATCGTGTGCCGCCATCACGGACCAAATTTTACAAAACTTGAAAATGTACCAAAAAAAAACTCAATTTGTAAACGCATAGCAACATATCACCCCCCCTTACTGCGAAACTACAGCAGACTGCGTCCGTGACACACGGCACCGTCGCTAGAGATGGCCTTGCGCCACAAAAATGACGCGAATACCGAACGTGCCCACGACGATTATCGCTCCCGTAGCCGCCGGCGCCCAACCCACCCACCCGTTGGTGACGGTGGCCCCCAGGCCGATGAGGTGAGCGAGGGCCGCCCATCCGTCCGGCGGCGACGGCGCGGCCGACTGCGCCGTCGTCGTCGCTGCCGCCGCCGCCCTCACCGCCGTGGCAGAGTCGGCCTGCGCCGGCGCCACGAAGGGCAGCGTGCGTCCCAGCAGCGCCAGCGCCATGTGGGGAAGCCCGGGCCCCGAGCGCCAGCCGCTCCTGGGGGACACCGCGTCGAGCAGCAGCGGCACCAGCGGAGACAGCGCCTCGGGGAGCGGCTGGGAGTCAGGAGAGGAAGTGTTGGGTGGGCGGGGGGGGGGGCAGTCTTAATTGTAGTCGCGATGCCATAATATCATTATTTACGATACGATACCCCAATTTATTATGACAGTTATCGCGATAGCAGTAAGCCCAAACTTTCCATTCTACATTTTATTGTATTGGTTTTGCACTTTGCTGTACTTACAGTATGAATAAAGATTACTTAAATCCTTTAACTGCAGTTCATGCGACGTAAGCCTGGAATACGGCTGCTGACAGTTTTTAACACTCCTAGCGCCCGTGGCTGTCAGTTACACGCAAGAAAGAATTGGTTTAAATTAACTTCTGCAAATACTCTCGGCTCACTTTAAGTTGTGATGTGGGAAAAGAAGCGTGGTTATAGCTATTTATTTACAACACAGTACAACCCGAAAACACATCGGACAGCTGTAAAGCGCAACTGCGGACACCTACTTAGGAATGCGAATCTTCCAGGGAAGGAACAGATTAGCCATGGGGGAACACAGATTTCTCTGACACCGACACCAGCAGGACATCGGCACTGCAAAAATCGGCGCAGTCTCACACGGGCCTGCGGCGTCACCGCCGGTCAACCGTTACCTCCGTGGGTGGTGGCAACATGGCTGCCAGCAGTCCCAGAATCCTCTGCTGCCGGCTCTGGCGCACGAGTGCCGCCGCCTCGTCCCCGTGCTCCTCCTCCTCCTCGCCCGTGCTGCGCAAGCGCTGGATGAGGAGCTGAGCACAGCGGGCGGAGGGCGCGGGGAGCCGGGAGGCGAAGCCGCTGGGAGTGCCCCTGAGCGCGAGCACGGAGAGCGCATGCCAGGCGAGCGTCTGCAGGTAGGGCCAGCCCGACTCGTCGCTCGTAAGGAACACCGCGGAGTGCTCCGTGTCCACCGCGTGCTGCGCCGTGTGCCTGCGGGGGCAAGGGGGGCGAGCAGTTACGCTCTGTCTGTCTTGAATCATTTCCCACAAACGTACAGGATGCTGCCACAGCGGTTTAACGTTTAGACGCGGTCGACACGCAATCCATCTCGACTCCATCTCATCTACCAGAGTTAACGTGGTGGGTTTTTTTCTTTCCCTCCACCCTCCCCCCCGAGTCAGTTTTTATTTGGAGGCCTGGCTGAGACCATTCGCACACGCATCTTACACCGCGGAGTGGGGGGGGGATGGGTCACGAGGTCCGCTACTGCCGTTACCCAGGAGGGAACTTGCTGTGGGTCTGGCAGCCCAGGCAGAGCAAGAGGCCGGGGCAGGAGAAGCAGGAGACGCGGCTGCGCAGCAGGAGGCCCCTGCACGACGCGCACGCCGCCTCCAGGCGCAGCAGCTCGTGCGACGAGTCGTGGCCGCTGGGCTTCACCCCGCCTGCGTGAGGACATGCACGGCGCCACCGCCAAGTGTGGGTACGTGCACACACGTGTATGTGTACACGTGTATGTGTACACGCGCAATGCCACCACGCACAAGTGTGCGTGTCTGTACGCGCGCAGCATCACTGTTAAACGTGGGTACATGCACACACACGGCGAGAGAGATAATTCCGTTTTGGAAAACAGTATAAGTTGCTCAACTTGTAGGGATACATTTCGTTTCGAATGAATCAGATTATTTTCTCTCACTGTTTTAATCTTTCCTGATTCGCATCTCAATTGCGCAATTGGCGTCACATCACGAGATGAAGATTCCATTGGCAGCTCGCGCAGAGCGCTGCCGACCCTTCGTTTGAGAGGACGGCCCGCAGAACCGGATATCACAGAGCTACCTCTGAGAGAACTCTTGTTGAAGTGTGAAGACTCGGGCCCACCACATCGATCGCTTCAGCTCATCTACACGGTGTTCAACCACCACACTGCAGGCCACAATACTTATGGAGCCACTCATTTACCCACCCACTCAGTCACCTACTCACTCACTCACCACACTGCAGGTCACAACACTTATTTTCGTGCTTCGTTCCTCACACTGCTCCACTTTTGAATTCCCTCCTCCCATCATCATCATCATCGTCTCTTTGCTCAATGCAAGGAACGTATTACATTCTTTATCTGTGACAAATTATTTGACAGTGCCGTTTGTAGCTGGCAGCTTTGCAATTTAGCCATTTGTCCAGCAAAAGTGACCTCTGTTCCACGGCGCACTCTGCCACTGCGTTACAGCGTATGTCACGTGACATTTTTAAGCCGACATTTTTTTACTTAATATTTTCTCCCACGGGTTTACAACAGCCGAGTTGCGGCTCACCGACGAAGCAGTCGATGCACAGGGTGCAGTCGGTGCACTGCAGGCAGCGGAAGCAGCCGTGCAGCGGCAGGGAACGGCACGCGCTGCAGAGGGTCTCGCGGTGCAGCCGCTCCCCGTACTTCACCAGAAACGCCTGCTCGCAGCACGCACGCACACACACACGCGCGCACACACACACACGCACACACAAGCACTCTTATACACGTGTATAGATCTACCCCTAATCCTTACCACACAACCTGAACACCTCGAGCTCTACCCATAACCCTAACTGTACCCCGACACTAACCCTACCCCCTAGCTCTACCCATAACCCTAGCTGTACCCCAACACTAACCCTACCCCTATCCATATCCCTTGGTTCCCCCCCCTGGCTCTACCCCCAACCCCTAACGGCTGGGCCGAGCTTCTCCCCCCCCCCCTCACCTTCTTGCACTTGTCCGGCTTGGCATCGTGGAGTTGGCGGAGCCAATCGGCGCTGTCGGACGAGAACTCCTGGAGCCAGCGCTGCTCCTTCTCCCAGGCAGCCAGCTCCTCCGCTGCGTCTGCCGACTCGCTAGGTGAGGGGCGGTGGGGTGGTTGTGAGCGAGCGTTAGGCGCAGGTTCACGTGGTGCTTCAACGAGTCCCAAGGTTTACAGAGCGGCCGTGACACTCGCGATCCCTTGGCGTTTCCCCAGGTCACCCCCCACGGCCCCACGTTACCATGGCAGCGAGAGGACGGTAGCGGTGGTCCCGAGGGCGATGCCGACGAGGATCTCGGGGAGTTCGGCCTCCATGAGCAGCGAGGCCTCGCTGGGCTCCCAGTCGAGGCACAGCAGGTGCAGGGCGGCCGTAGCCAGCGCCACGCGCGAGCTGCAGGGAGCAGACATCCAAGCGTCACCGCAGAGACGCGGCCGGGGTCACCGCAGAGACGCGCGTGGGGCGGCCGAATCGGTGGGCGGGCGTGTGACGGCCACGGTGGCTGACCTGTCGGCGTGCAGCGATGGCAGTCGCAGCGTTTGCGTGAGGGTGCCGAGCAGCTCGCGGTACCGCTCCTGCATGGCGGCCGCCAGCTCCGGCCCACACGTCCTCACCCCCTCAAGTGGGTACCTACGCCACGACACACAAACCATCATCACGGCAATACAACCCCACCGCTACCACAACTTAGCCACAGCCATCAAGACATCCACAACATACAACCATAAACCCAACCACAACTCTACCGCTACCACAAACGGTTTGTCTGAGAAGGGGTCACCAATTTATGAGGGGGGCACAAAGTTAAGGGAAGATTAAGAAAGTTCAGGAGGAATTGGGGGGGGGGTGGGGGGTAAACAAAGGTGGGAAACAAATAGTGAGCTGTGAGGTTCCCGGCGTCCTGGCCAGGGACGTCACTGCGGCAGTCGGTGCCACTGACGTTTAACTCCTTGCGAGAAGGGGAGGGAAGGGAGGGAGGTGAGACATAAACCGTGGGACGGATTCCGAGGGGGGGCAGCCAAACGGCTCAAAGGAGCCGGGCTTGTACCGCGGCAGCGCGAGCTGATGAGCAAGCAGGCCCTGCAGGTAGGCGAGCGCCGGGGCCACCATCTCGAGATCGTAGAGAGCCGAGCGCAGGCTGCCATTGACGCGCGCCAGGGACGCCGCGCGTTTCTGCGCCAAGGCTGCCTGCTGTGTCACCGCCTGCAGCACACTGCACGCACGCACACACGCACACACGCACGCGCGCGCGCACAGCACGGTGGTGAAATGTCAATGTCTGGAACCTATTCGTCCTGCAGCAGCTGACGCTCACTGACAACACAAAGAGAAAAATCCCCCCGTGTAGCCTTAACAGACTGTTGGGGCAAGTGCTGTTAGAGAGCACCAATGACACTCGCTCACACACAAGCACACCCTCACTCGCGCATGCACACAGCGACACCAACAGCCACCTATTCACTAAGTGGTGGTGACGTGAAGTGTGGAAGGGTCCGCTGGTAGGAGGTTATGGATTCACCGAGATGACTTACAAGAGGCATCACGTTTGTGACCACCCTCTTGCCCGCCTACCTACCGCCCCTCGGCCACACTCTCCCTGCTGTGCCCACCGCTGCCCTCACCCGTCCGGGGTCGCCTTCTTGTCCTTGACGAAGGCCAGGATGTCACCAACCCAGGGGTAGAGGCTCTCCTCGCGGACGGCAGGGCGGACGTGGGCAGCGCCTGGTGAAGTTTGGGGAGAGGGGCGACGCCGTGTGAGGTTGGGGGGCCGCCTGTGCCGGCCGGTGAAACCCCGGCAGCGGCGGTGGCCTGGCTACGACGGCGCGGCCGGCACGGTCCCGCCAAGGCCCATGCGGTCACGGTGGCCAGAACAGAGCGTGTTTCTTGTTTTATTGTAATTGCATACGTCTTATTACAAGAGCAAACATCATCATTATTATAACGCTTGTTTACCCAGGAGAACCTCCGGGTCTTTTAAGAGAAGGGTCCTGCCACGTTTTGCCAGAAGTAGAGCGATGCTGCCGGTGCTATTGCTTGTGATCCCAACTGAGTGATGTGCAGGTAATTTTCAGCACGTGGATGTTTGGCTAACACCGGCCAACGTTGCACGTTGTGTGTGTGTGTGGGGGTTTTCAGCTACTAATGAAAATGGGAAAGGGAACAAGCACCCCCATGTGGATTCGGTGACTTCACCATGGTTAAAACGCGGAGACATTTTAGATTGGTACATCGTGGAAATTATCTGTAAAAGCAAAAAAGAATGAAAATTCTTCTTAAAAAATCTAAAACAAATGTCACCCGAAAATCATAAACTCATCCCTGCTACCCAAAGTGCCGTCCCTTACCCACAACGCCCCTCGCTCACCTGCACTGCCCGAGGCTGAGTCCTCGCACGAGTCTTCGGCGGCATTACGGACGCCCGAAATAAAATCGCAGCTGGGGTCGAAGTTCACGGGCGGCAGTTTCAGCAGGAAGAGGCATTTGCGGATGGATATTTCGGCTGCGAAAGTGTTAGCAAAAAATAAGAAATTAAACAATAATAATTAACCCATTCACTTTTCAACAAGTTCTTGTCATTAATTGCACATTGTAAATTATGCGTAGTTTATCTTCTTGGTTCTTTCGGTAAAGTCACGTAGAAGGAAAATAATAAAAATAAAACATAATAAAATAATTCTCACGACGTTTCGGCCACAACGCAAGCAGCCGTCCTCAGGTGGAGAACAGGTCTGTCTGACTCTGTCTACTTGACAGACCTGTTCTCCACCTGAGGACGGCTGCTTGCGTTGTGGCCGAAACGTCGTGAGAATTATTTTATTATGTTTTATTTTTATTATTTTATTATTTTCCTTCTACGTGACTTTACCGAAAGAACCAAGAAGATGAACCCCTGCGGTCACGAAAGCTTTAAATCGAAAAATTATGCGTAGTTTTTTTCTGCGACACAGAAAAAGGCAGAGCCCACACGAGTGAGAAAACTTTGAAGCAGTCGGATTTGTTCCACATTCTGACGACCGCCACTCACCCAAGGAGTCCAACTTCTGTCCACCCTTCTCCTCGCCATCCTCCTCCTTGGCATCCTCCTTCTCGCCACCCTCCTTCTCGCCACCCTCCTTCTCGCCACCCTCCTTCTCGCCACCCTCCTTCTTGGCATCCTCCTTCTCGCCACCCTCCTTCTCGCCACCCTCCTCCACGCCACTCTCCTCCACAAGCTCCACAATGCTATCCTGCCTCTGTGCCAGCTGACACCGCCGTCCATGCAACGGTGAACAACATGCATACATCATGCATACATCATGCATACATTGCTGACACGTTAAAGATGTGGGTTGTCATTGGTGGCGTCGTGAAGTGGACTTTTACTCGGCCATAATATTTTGTGGGCAGGAAAGGGCAGTGTGGCAAAATCAGTCTTGAACTTCCGTCTTTGTTAAGTTTTCCGCAACACCACGCATCACACATCAGGGAATCGCTCCGTTCAGGCGCCACTCCGAACCCCCTACTATCCCTCCTTTTATTCTCTTCACCATCCTTTCTGGAACAATCCATGACTCTTCGCCAATCGCATGATTTTATCCTAACGGTCTCCCAACCAACCCCCGAAACTGATTGAAACGTTGCTTGCCATTTTTTTGCCAGCAGCAAAAAAAAAGGAGTTAAATACTTTAAATAAAATCGTCAGCACAAAACTGTAATATATGTTTGCCTTGCAAAGGGGGGAAATCGTTACATATGCTTAATGGCTTGGTCATGACGTGCGATGCATGCTGGGAGCCGGGACGACAGTTACATCACCACACGCAGTGCATGCTGGGATCCTGCACTATGTTCACCCCTTGGGTTGAACTCCAGGCGACCCTCCCACCGTCCCTCCCTCCGAACCCTCCCTCCTCCTGCACTCCCCCACCATCTCCCCTCTCTCCCCCCCCTCTGTTATTCCTTCCTGCACCCTCCTCTCCTTACCAGCCAGCTCCGGACGGTGCGGGCTTGAGCGTAAATCCAGCGCAGGTCCTCGGTAACCACCGCCGGCGCCACCTCACCCGCTGCTGCAACCACAGGGAGGCGAAGCGCCTCGTGAACGGCCAACTTGGAGAAACGCGATTCGGGCCCGAGTCACCGAGCCGTGGCCTCGTTGCGGGCAGCTATAGAAATATTGTGCCCAACATAAAAAGCTTGATATTTTGGGCCTGCTCCTCCCCTAACGCCCCAAGCCTTCCCCTTGACCCACCATAAAAATGTGTTTTAATAATGTGGTGAAATGAGAAAAAATTGATTCCATAAATTAGTTTATAAAATACAAAAGTGGATATTTTTAATAATTTGATAATTTATTTGCATTTCGAATCCATTCGGATACATATAGAACAGAATCAAACAAAACCGAAATATGGGGCCGCTGGTTCTCATTGTCCGATTCAAACCATTCCCACTGAATGCCACAATGAAGCGAATCATTCCGGCCCTGCCCAATAGAAAGCTGCCGTTCCTAGTTCACTGGCATAGGGGACAGCTCCACACACAAATGGACTTCCCACCTCCCTCCAACACTACCCCATCATCGGTCGCCCCTCATCCACCACCCCACTAAAAATGTGGCCGACCGGCCGTGCGCGCGTATGTGCGCGTGTGTGCGCGTGTGTGTGCGTGCATGCGTGCCTACGTGTGCGCGTTCCCACGCGCGCGTGTGCCCGCGTGTGTGTGCGCGCGTCAACGCCTCTCCTGCCGCTGCTCTCACCGTACGGTGCGAGCTGCTGCTGCAGCGGCCGCGTGTGGTGCAGCAACGCCGCGAGGACGGCGCGCGTGGCCACCTCGATGGTGTCGGTGGCGCCAGCACCACCAGCGCTACCACGAGCGGCACCCCCCTCGCACGCCGAAAGCAGCGCCAGCGCCGCCTTGGAGCCGTGCGCCGACGCCAGCGCCAGCAGCAGCTCGTGAACTTGCTTGTCCGCCGGAGCGGCCTGCGGTGAAACCCGGGCGGTGTAGCGATGAGGGTTGCCAATCGGTAACCGGACACAGTTTTGAGAATCGATTATGGGTCTCTGAAAGTCAGGAACCAGATAAATCCATTGCCGTGTAGTTTTAGGAGGAAGAGGTGGACGTACCCACACTTTACCACAAGTGTGGTGAACCCACTCGTGCTTCTGGGCGGAATGGGTTGGCGAGGGCGATTTGAGAAACGTGCACCGTTGTTTCAACTGCCGCGACGGGAGATTGAATCGAACCGGCGACCTCCTGGTTCCAAGTCCGGCGTGATAACCATTCCACCGTAGCAGCAACCCATTGCTAATGGAATAAATGATCACAGTCCCTCTCTGGGCTGTGTCTTCCCTTTAACGATGAATACAAATCTGTTACGTTTGGTTTTTTCGCGATTCTTAAGAGCGCAAGGCGATGGAAGGCTCCGTCGTGTTTCATAAACATCGTCTGGCAAGTGCCTCACAGTAGGCGGCGATGTTGCCACGTGTAATCTCAATTCGGTGATTGTTTCCAATATGGCAAAAATGTAGACTATTGTGCCGACATACACAGCAGGCAACTGTTTACAAATTACATCACGAAGTCTTTCACGTGCGCTGCGAAACAGATGGCGCGCAGTATTTTACGGCAAATGGACCGGCACAATTAACCAGGGCGGTCAGCCCAGTTCGAATGCAAATCCTCTGCAACCAGTGGGGAAAGCACTACTGCCAAGCCACGCCACTGCCCACGATAGAAAGGCAATTCAGCCCTGACGCAGACTTGAACCCTCCTCCCTGGGTGCGAGGATCACCGTGTATTCCACTCCCGCGAGGTGCAGCGCCTCCGACCAGTACGTCGCGCCCAGAGCTCCCAGCATGCACGGCATCTGCTTCCCACTCTCGCCGGCAGCTGCTGGGGAAAAATGCACAACACAAGGGTGAGCGTCTACGTCGCGTCCGTGCGAGCGGTGAGCGTCCGTGCGAGCGGTGAGCGTTGATGCTTTGTCTACGCTAGTGGTGTCTATGCTTGTGGCGAGCGTCTATGCTACGTCTGCGAGTGGTGAGCGTTGATGCGAACGATGTCTATGCGACTGGCGAGCGTCCGTGCTACGCCCGTACGAACGGCGACGATCGACATTGCGTCCCTGCGGTCGGCGAACATTGCGTTCCCGCATGCGACCCCGACCCCCTAACCTGGGGCCCTCTCCACCGTGGTGGCGACCTCCGCTCCGTGCAGCCTGCCCAGCAGGCGCAGGCTCAGCAGGTGCAGATCGTGCAGCCAGGGCACGGGCCGGTGGTGCGGTGCCCCACGAGCCGTCACCGTGAAGCGGTAGTACATCTCGCTGCCGTGCTGCTGAAAGACCAGCGTGGGCCCGCACTTCATCGTCACCCCCTTGGAAGTCGCCGCGGAGGGGAGGGGGGGGCAATGGGGGGGGAGTTAGAGGTCACATGGGAAGGGTCACAAACGGTTTAGGGTCCATGGTTCATAACCCATGCACAAAAAGCAGCATTTCTATAAACTATTTGTAGGATGGAGCACAGGCTGCGGAATGGATACCGTGCAGGATAATGTTTTTGAATACGCGTGGGGAACGTGCACCTAACCACATCTCTCCCCCAGTCCTCTGCTGTGTTCCTCAATCAGCTCATCTATCCGGCCACCAGACCTCTGCCCCTACCACCCTTCACCTACCCTCATCCATGCCCAGCCAAAGCACCCATCTATCTTACCACTTCATGCACGAGCTCCATTCCCCGCTGCCTCTCGTCCACGTTGCACCCACGTGTCGCCCTCATTCACCATTATTCTGGTTGTGTGTTCAGCTTGAGCCTCCCAGAAACGGCAGGTTTGCTCTGCTCACCATCAGCAGCTGCTCCTCGTTGTAATTGTCGGAGAAGCGCAGATACGCGCCGTGGCCGTCCATGAACTCCATGCAACTGTTCCTGCGTGACGGCACGGATGGCGGAGCGTCGCGACGAGTTACGCACGGACCCAGCCGGGTCGAGCGCCGTGGCAGAGAGCCAAAACGAGGACTAAAATCACGCCGGGGATTCCGTAACGCCTTCCCAATGCTGTGTTTGTCCTTACAAAAGTTTTTTTTTTTATGATTATTATTTAGTACCAGGAACCCGCACACGTCCTTTGGATGCGGCTATCCTTCCCGGCCATCTGTCCCAGCCAATAAGCCAGGTAAGCCAGGCAAACTGTTTTGTATGTAGTATGATGTGGAATACATGCAGGCTAATGCAAAACAACAAAATTATTTCAACAAAAACAGTGTGTGCAGCCTTAAAAGAAAAACATGTGCAACCGGCAACGTTTTGGGCAATAGCCCTTCATCATGATGCAGTGTTATTGACGAATGTGTTCCGTTTCTTTCTTTGTAGTGCTTGCGCATCAACGCCAACGCAGCAGCAACAACAACTTAATTTTCTAAGTTAATGACGCCATTCCCATGGTTGAGAGCAGGGGGCGGCTCAGGCAGGATACGACGCTAGAAGTCACGATGGCAGACGGGTCGGTGTTGCGGTGTTGCCGCACCGCGGCGTGTCGTGCTGTTGTGGTTTTGCGCAGTTGTGCCAAGTTGTGACGTTGAGGTTTGTGATGGTGTTGTCCTGTTGCTGTGTTGTGGTGTCGTGCCGTGTTGCGTTGCCGTGTGGTAATATTATAGTGTTGTGCAGTTGCCGTGTTGCGGTGTTATGCCGTGTTGTGACGTTAGTGTTATGCCGTTGCCGTGTTGCGGTGTCGTGCTGCGTTGTGTTACCGTGTGGCAATGTTATCGTGTTGTGCCACTGCTGTGTTGCCGTGTTGTGCCGTGGGGTTGTGTCGTGTTGCGATGCGTCTGGCACCAATACGTGGGCGAGTGTTTGTCGAACTCGATGGTGAAGGAGTGGGCGCCGGGGCAGAGGAACGTGGCGGCGTTAGTGGGGAACTCCACCAGCCAGCGGCCCAGCACCACCGACTCACCGCCACCACCACCAGCATCCTGCTCCTCACACTGAGACACGGACAATGGGACATGGGGACACAGGCACACCAAGACATTGGGACATGGGGACACAGGCACACCAAGACATTGGGACATGGGGACACAGGCACACCAAGACATTGGGACATGGGGACACAGGCACGCCAAGACACAGGGACACGGTGATACGGGAACACAGACAAGGTGACAAAGAGATAGAGTTAAACTGGTAAGGGAGCACTATGCATGTACAGTAAAACCTTGGATTGTGAGTAACTTGGTCTGCAAGTGTTTTGCAAGACGAGCATTTTTTTTTTATAAATATAAATTTGATAAACGAGCGAGGTCTTGCAATACGAGTAGCACGTGTATACGCTTTGTCTGCCGAGCGTCACGTGATCCCAACTGATATACGAGTACTTTGGATTACAAACACGTTTCCGGAACGAATTATGCTCGCAATCCAAGGTTTTACTGTACTATGGTTTAACTTCTTTCGCACCGTATGTAGCCAACCGTGCTCATTGGAGTACCTCCTTGAAGTATCCCTTGTGCCGATTGGCCAGATCAAACAGGCAGGTGACCAACGGCATCAGCTCTTGCTGCAGCGTGCACGAGAATTCCAGATCCACCAGCTCCAGCAGGAATGCGAGCTGCAAAAGTTGGGCAGAAATTGTAAACACCGCAATGAGCCGGTCAGCAACCACCTCGTTTCCACCGCACGATCATTTGAGTCGTAGACTGGCATTCACTCAATTGGCCCGATCGCTCAATTGACCCGATTTCTCCTGTCCCATTTTCCACTCGTGGCACATCCGAGCCGATCCAGCGCAGGGTTGGGGCCTTGCGTTCTCTACGAGCGTATAAAAAAAAGCTCAAGAAATATTACCGGTGACAACTTATTAAACTTCACTATGCTAGTCAGTTGTCTTTCTTCATGTGGCCGATGTAGGTGCAGAGCAACAGATATGGTTTACATTGAGGTGGTTGAGCCAGATAAATGGGTCAGGAGTAGCAGAGTGCACCGCTGGATGAATGCCTCACCACAGTGTTTGTGAATTGGGCGCCGAGTCGTCGTTATCTATTCCATGGTGTGCTCTGGTGACCAGAGTCACCAGAGCACACTGTCGGAGAGTTAAAATTTCCATCTGTGCACCAAGTGTCTGCATCTGCCGCTGCCATGGGTTGTGCAGAGGATGCGGTTTAGGGCTGTGGTCCATGAGCTGAGTGGAAGCTCAAGGCGAGGGATCGCCTGCATTGGGTCTTTGGAGAAGGGTGAGGGGGAGGCACAGGACCGGATCAGACACCACTCACCACCCGAAGTTAGCCGTGGCCGGGAATCAAACTCATGTTGCCAGGTTCATAGCAGCAAAGTGCAGTGCACTAACCAATGGAGCGCCGCCACTCCGACAGCTTTGGGAGGCCATCGTGGCCAATCATAATGATGACGACGATGATGACGACGATGATGACGAGGACGACGATCGTGTTGCTCACCAGGTGCCTGGTTGCCACGGCAACAAACGAGTGCTGGAGGTGGCTCACGGAGTCCGCGAATCGGTCCGAGGGCAAAGCAGCGAGGGCGGTGAGAGAAGCGACCGCCATCACCACCTGCCTCTTCACGTCTGCATCAAGCATAGACAAAAAATCCCCCGCTTAGCCTCCTCAAGCTGTTGGGACAAGTGCAGTGCTGTTCACGAGCGCTTATTAAGGCCAGAACGGCGCATGACGAGATGGTGTGGCAAACACCGTGCCCGGCGGCCTGAGTCAACCTTGAGTAAGGCCTGGGATTAGTTCAGATATCACTTGTCAGCTATGTCAGTCACACAAAGGATCCCCGTATAGCCACAACAGACTTTGCTGTGAGCGAGTAGCACCTATGAAGGCTGGCACGGCACAGGAGCCGGCGAGTGGCCAGCACAACAGCCTTCGTCTCCCTCGTGGTGATGTTTAAACACCGCACCAGGTCCTCATTTGAGGCCGAGTTGACCTAGGGGAGGCCCAAGACTAGTTCAAAGTGTGCTGTGTAGATGGCACAAGCAGCGCCAGTGTGTTGTGTATAGTTGGCACCAGCAGCAGCGTCAGTGTGTTGTGTATAGTTGACACAAGGAGCGTCAGTGTGTTGTGTATAGTTAGCACCAGCAGCGTCAGTGTGTTGTGTAGAGTTGGCACAAGCGGCATCAGTGTGTTGTGTAGAGTTGGCACCAGCAGCGTCAATGTGTTGTGTATAGTTGACACAAGGAGCGTCAGTGTGTTGTGTATAGGCGGTGGCGCCAGCAAGGCAGAGGCTATGCTCACACGCCAGCATCACAGCCCGGGCCACATCGGCCACCCCTTGGTTGCCGCCCTTGAGCGCCAGGTGGCACCAGCTCATGTGCTGGCGCTGCACCTCCACCAGCAGCTGCAGCAGGGCGGATGGCTCGTGCCAGCGGCGCCCGCTCTCCTGCTGCACGCCCCAACAACAAAGTGTGCACAGCGCCAGCCAGCAAGTGAGTCGGTCAGCAAAGGGGGCGAAGTTGATATTGGGTCTTTCGGTAAAGTTAAGTAGTTAGAAATAAAATAAAATAGAACCAAAGAGTATAGATTCCTGCAGTCACGAAAGCTTCAAATCAAGATTGATATTGGGTTTTTTCTAATTTACGAGATATCGAATCATTTTATTTGGTAGTCACGCTTTTCTCAGAGTTCAAGGCTATCACAAAGGAAAGCGCTGTTTCACAGATGTAGTCTGCAGTAGATTTCCAGGGAGGGGGGGGGGGGAGCAATGTTGCTTTGCATAACCTCAAACGAGTCATTAAGCCCAACCCATTTACGAGTGTATTTTTAAATTGGCAAACCTGGACTGTGACACGAGCACACAATGGCCGACTCTCTTTCCAATAACGCCACAGGCTCCTTATCATGCTGCTGTGAAAGTAGACTGCACGTAGTATTTTAGGGCTAATACGCAACGTGGTATAAACCAGGGCAGCCCACTGGGCTCGAACCATGAAACCCCTCATCAAAGGGGCGACTGCTTGGCCCTGACGTTACCACCCCGGCGATGTACAAGAAGCGCGGTTCGAGCGTAAAGTTACGTCAGCCAATTAGACGGTCCACAGATGGTCGGTCCAAGAATAGAGCAGTCGGAGAGTTGGTCCGATGCTCAGTTAGTCAGTGAGTCGAACAGCAAGTCAGATGGAAAACCAGTCAGACCGTCACTCAACACTTCAACAGTAACTTTATAAGAGGACAAAGTCAATCAATATATTGCCGTGAGTTACTCGGCTAGTCAGCCAGGCATTCAGTCAATCAGAAAGTCTGTCAGACACAGAGTAAATGATCGTCAGTCAAACAGGCCGACGGGTCAGTCAGACTCAATCGCTCTATTGTGTAGGTTCTCAGTTGCACCGTGTGGCTCTGCTGTGTTTTAGAGTTGATGTGTTGTTCGGTACGGGGAGGGTGGAGTGAAACGTTGGACGTCGTGCGGAACAATACGCGGAGAGAGCTGGACAACCAATCAGCGCACGAGTCCGTACACCCCGTTGCGTCGTTAGTCCCAGACCTCACGACCCCCGCGACCCCCGCGAGTGACCTCTCACACCTGTGCCTGCGCGAGGTCGAGGAGCGTGTGGATGACCCTCAGCAGTGGCTCCGAGCGTTGGGACTGCGTCGCCGATGGGGGAGGCAGTGGGCAGAGCAACTCGGGAAACCTGCTGCTCCGCGTAGGACGGGAAGAACGGATCAGCGCACGGCGATCCTCCCCACCTCTCGCCCCATCGCAACTCGAGGTCGCGACTCAACTCAAGCATCGATTCTCTGCCATTTGACGGTAGTCCCTCGGTTTACGATGCCATCGATTAACGATATTTCAATTTCCGATCCGCCTCCCATAGGGTCTCATTGTTTCTATAAGCAATACATATTTTAACGATGTTTACAATATCACGCGGCCGCCAATTTTGGCCAATCGGAGCGCTCCTTTAGTGGACTCGGCAGCAGATTTCAGCCAATCAGCGACGCCCTTTTATTAGCGTTTTGAAACCAACAATCCCTTTTCAACGATTGATGTGCGTTGCTTATGGAAAAAGCTTTCTTGAATACTTAATTGATATTGTTTTAAACCTCCAGAGATTCTAATGGAAGCAGAATCTCCTTCTAAAAAGTGAATTTCTCCCAACCCAACCTCTCCATCAACCTCTTAAGTCAATCATCTTCTTAGCCTAAGGTTATTATTTGTATTTTATGCTCTATTTATGCACCTTTTTATGCTCTATTCATTATTTATACATGTTTATATTAATGCTTTAAAGATGTTGTTATAACGTTCATTTATTAAAATTGCACGTTTAACTATTATAAACTATGTGTGTAGGGTGAAAAAGGGCAACTTCCAATCATCTTGGAACAAATTAAGCCTTTAATATGCATTTCCTATGCTCGATTAATGAAAAATTCAATTAACAATGGTTTTCGTGGAACCAATTAATAGCGTTAACCGAGGGACCACTGTATTTTGTTTCTAATGTCTCATCACAAATATTCTGTTGCTCTTGCTCTGTCTTGCAATGTCTGTTATCTGTAAGGGTCTCATCTCGACTATCCACACCATCTTATCTGTACCGTCTCATCTGTACCGTGTGTACTGCCCTGGTCCACCTCCGTCTCTCTACCTGAAGCGACTGCAGAGGGAGCGCAGGGTGAGCGACACGGACTTGGGCAGCCGCTCCTCGTCCCGCGATGGGGCACCCTGCACAGCGACACGGAGGGTGAGGGTTAGACTCTGGGCGAGGGTCAGGGTCCGGCTTATAGGTTGAGAGCCTACGTCAGGGTTTCAAAGTTTGAAGCTTATTTTGTTTGAGTCTCATTCGCAAGAGTAGCCTGCTGGGACATTAGCGTGCCAGACGATTGCTATGCATAGCCTCAATTGAGTTATTTGCGATGTGATTTTTTTTCTTCTAAAAATGTTGTCCCGAACGCAGGAACACAACGGGTCGACTATTGCAGATGACGCGAGGAGATCTCTCACGTCCGCCGTGGAACAGACTGCGCACAGCGTTACTACCGCGGTCACTACACCCCCCAGTAATAACCAGGGCGGCTGCTGCTTGCGAACCGTGAACCTCTGTAACAAGGGATCAACACGGCAAGGCCATGTCACCACCCGGGTTAGAGTCTGGGATACTTGTAAGCGCTAGGCATTAGGGGTGAAGATTAGGGTTAAGAGCTAAGTGTTAAGGTCAGCGTATAGAATAGGGGTTAGAGTATGAACTAGGGGTTCAGGATAAGAGCCAAGGGTCAGGGTGCGAGTCCGAGTTCGGTGTGCACCAGCATCGTGAAGAGCTTCTCTCGCGCTTCTTCCCCCGGGAAGAAAACAGCGGTGGCATCGCCCAGCGTCTCCTCCTCCTGCCGCCGCTCCGCAGCCTGCAGCTCCTTCAGTGGCCCCTCGTTCTTCGCCAGTTCCTCCTGCGGCTTCCCAGGCGGCAACGCCGCCTTGTCCACAGCTATGCGGAGGAACGAGCGCAACGATAATTAACGATTCACCGCCTGGATTCTGTGACCAAGATGCTCGCGCAGTTGCAAGCAAAACACCGTCGTGTCCAACCGCTTGCCATACTCGGCTGCGAGAATCGATGTTCAACTCTGACGCACCGTCGCACAGGTGCCGGTAGAACTCGGCAAGGCAGGCGCGTGCCGCCCCTTTGTCGGGCCCCGCGAGATCGTGGGTAGCCAGGACGGGCGCCAGGCAGCGCAGGAGGCGGAGGAGGATGATGCGAGCTGCGGTGCTCTCCGCAGAGTGGCTACGGCAAACGTACGGTGCAGAAGAAGTGCAACATACATAGGTACAGACAGGGAGGAGCAAGTGGCACCATCAGGTGTGGCACAATCCCACGTGGACCCATAGGAGCCACTGGCAATTCTCAGTCATTCGCAACACCCCCAAACAAAGCAGCCGTGTCAGAAGTAATGGAATGTTTCTGCCACTATTCATAGGATCTTTGCTTTGTTTATCTGCAGTTCTAGAGCGATAGGCAATTTGCAGCGACCCATAGTTCTTACATGCACAGGTTGTCAAGGGATCTTCATTTTATTTTAAACGTTTTATCGTCATTAGCAGTATTACGCACATGCAGTGTGTGGATGCGTAATCGTGCTCCCGGTAGATTCACATCTTTTATGAGCATTTGGATGCAGTGGAAATGTCTAAAGCGTGATACTAAAACTCGACAGATGTTTATAGGCAAGGACCTTCTATGGTAAATGTGGGCCATAGTTCGAGGCTTGGGCGGTGGCATCAACTCAGCTGCGCAGCTTCTGACATTGATAACAACTCACCTGTGATGAACATCACCCGTGAATGTTCTCACCTGGGCAGCAGCTTGCTGTAGAGCAGCCAGAAGGGCTCAATCGTGAGGTCAGACACGTCCAGGAAGGGGCAGGGGTCACGCTCACTCATGGCGCCCTGCACGGCGACGAGACACGTGGAAGGAGGACACGGGCAGGGAGACGCGGGGAGGGAGGACGTAGGGACGAAAGAAGATATAATCAAGTCCTCGCTTAACGTGTTTTCATACAAAGCGTTTTTGCTATGACATGGTTCTTCAATTCGGGAACACTTTTCGCACAACGTGGAATGCACACCATTATAACGCGGAACACGTGCTGTTATAAACATGAAACGTACCACCGTTATAGCGCGAAGCATGCCTCATTATATCACGAAACACACACCGTTATAACGCAGTTTCTGGGCGGTCGACGACTAACTACTTTCGTGAGCTGTGCGGCTGAGCGATACAGGAATTCAGGGTAACCGCACGGAGTAGGTACAGTACGCGGTGGCGTAGCCTCATCACTCACCCCTCCAACTCCACCCAGAAACACAACAAGCAACCACCACCACCATCTCAGGTAAGTGACATTTTGTTGCATTCATAATTTTTATATATATAAAAATAATAATCGTTATATGTGATATATTTATCTTCTCTTCCCTATCTCTCTCTCTCTCACACACACACATAGCATATTCTTAAAAGCCACTCATGTGAAATTCTGGCCCAGAAGGCAACCCCCCACCTTTAACATTATTTATCGGGAAAATGTTTTCGCTTAACGTGGCATTTTTGAGCACCGAGTTCTACGTGGAATAGCCGCGTGAGACTATTTATTTAGATGGTTGTGGCATCGGCGTCACGTCACAAAACAAAGAACCACTTTGTGTGAATGTCGTGGGGAACGGAGGCTGCGTCGGGTACCAGGTCGTCCTGAACCAGCAGCAGGAACCTCAGCGTGGCCTCCACGAGCTCGGCGCTCCGTAGGGGCCTCCCGTCCACCCAGCCTGGCGGTCCCAGCGGCCAGCACTCACTCTCCGACCTCAGGGAGCCGTGGAGCCGTGACCCCTGAACTTTGATCCCCGTGCTACCGTGCGGGCACAGGTACTTGATGAGGATGAACTGTGGAAAGGGGGGGGGGGGCAGGGGGGAGTAGGAAGCATGGATAAGGGTCAAAGGGTGGCTCCTGCGATTCGCGTGGAATTGCGAGATGAAGAATCCGTTCGGAAATCTCACAGCGGTGCCACATTCTGTGAAGATGATAGTCCACGTTAGCGGATACCACAGAGCTACCTCTGAGAGCTCGAGTGACCTCTGACCTACACGATGAATACACAGACAATACACGCCTACTCTCCTTATTTGTCTATCCACGTAATAGATGAAGGCTGTTTTTTTTACTTACACAACCCATAGGCCGCACGGCCTTCCGAGTCCATGTTTTCAACAGCAAACACTCTGGACCAGTTTCAATATTCAGTGTCTTATCAGCCGGGGCAGGCTTGCTTGAACCAACCCTTGTGAGAACTCCCAGAGGCTTCTAGGTAAGGACCTTCTATGGTAAATGTTGGCCCTAGTTCGAGGCTTTGGCAGAACACGCGATGGAATGCCTGGATGATGACCGGTGCGGGTTGAGACTAATGTGGGAGTGGCAGCCAATGGGGGGTGGGGGGGGGGGGCAGAGAGGACGTCCATCACGGAGATGGAGCAATGAAATCAGTTGGTGTGCAGCTGCTAGATTAAGATTCTGACAAGGCTTGGGGAGGCCTTCACCCAGCGGTGGGGGGCTGAGCACGGACGATGACGATGACAATGACGATGACAATGACGATGACAATGACGATGACAATGACGATGACGATGATTGCACCTTCTTGGGTAGGGGCATCTCCAGCTCCACGTATATGTCAGAGTCGGTGAAGGAATCTCGCACCACGGTCCAGCCAATCAGATCACTGTACGGCCACACGCCCTGCTCCCTGAAACACGGCACGCGCGCACACACCGATAGACAACGATCGCCCCCGCGTAGCCGTACGGACCGGCAGTTCCCAGCCTGCGGTACTCGTACCCTCCATGGCCCAGCCTTGGCGCATTCCGAGTACGTATGCATGTTAAACTTCGTTCGCACCGTACGCAGCCAACCGTACTAGCGGAGGTGCTTGCCGCTCGTTGCAGAGGTTCGCCATTCGGATCTGGCCACCCGCCTTGGTTAATACTGCAGGCACACCAATTGTTAAATTTCTACGCGCCGCCCTTTCGTGGTGGACGTAAATGATGTCCGTGACGTCGTTCGGAAAGTCGCCCGTTGTGCCGGCATCATGGTTAAAATTTGCCACATTAAAAAAATTCGCTCCGCAAACTACTACAGCTTTTGTCTGTGAAAACACAGCGGCTTCCTTGATGAGAGCCGTTCGATATATGAATGGCGCGAACACCAATTGTATTCAATTATTAATACTACACGTGGAAGCTCGAGGGGTGAGACAATTCACTTCATGGCAGTGGTCACGTGGGGTTACGAAGCAGTTTCGTTTCGTCTCAACCAGTGTTCACGATCGGGATATAGGGGTCAACACGCGGCTGGTAGGGGAACGTAGTAGGTGACAGGCCTATAGGGGTACACAAGTAGTAGGGGGTAAATAAATAGATGATACACTTTTTTACTGATTTTAAATCAAAAGATACATCGAAGAATCGCCACGACGCAGCACATCTACAATCGACCAACACAGGTGGATTGTGGGTAGTAACACCCGTACTAAAAAGCCACACAATTCCCAGCATCGCACCTCTTGCTGGAGGCGTCCGTCACGGCGGCGGGCTTCCACGCGTCGCACTCCGAGTAGCGCTGCAGCAGCTCCGCGGCCGAGAGCGGGCCGCCGTCGGGGCCGTCCGCACCGTCGAGCGCAAACACCAGGCACAGCCCCGGGTAGCCGTAGTCGTTGGCCGTGATCTGACGCACCGCAGCGCACCACCACACCGCAAACCGCGCCACAACGCACCAGACACGTTGTCGCGCCACGCAACACACCACGCAACGCGTCACACCCCATGGCCAAGCCTTCGTCCGGTAATTGATAGGTCACGGCGGATGACGATTGGCTGCTCCCACCTGGACGTGCAGGCGCACGGCCTGGGCCCTGAAGCCCTGAGGAGCGGCGAGCAGCACCGTGGCTGCCATGTCCTGCTCGCCTGCCTGTAGCGCTGCAGGGGCAGGACGGCACACGAGGTGTCAGCACCAGCAGAAGCACCGCCAGTGTCACTACCACTAGCAGCAGCACAGCAGCACAGCAGCAGGATTACCGGTAGCATCAAACATCACCAGCATCATTATCACAGTTCGATCTCCAGAACCAGCACCAGCAGAAGCATCACCAGTAATAGTAGAAACAGTCCATAATCAACGTTTTTGGGTTTAGATCGCCTACGTGTTAACTAGAAAAAGCGCCAGCATCCGCAACATCATCACAAGCAGTAGAGGCAACATCATTAGTACAAGCAGCATGGATATATGTTGCACTTTTTTTGCACCGTACGTAGCCAAACGTATTAATGGGGAGTAGAGCAGTACCAGGAGAAGCACCAGCAGCAGTAGCATGACCAGCAACATCATCACCATCATCATCAGGACCAGCAGCATCATCAGAATGACCATCACCAGAGGTCAGTGTGAGAATGACCGTGTGCCCCAGGGGCTGAATGCCATTATGATCCCACAGAGAGGGGATTGGAAAATTGCAGCCGCCCCAAACCTTTTGGAGCTACACAGTGAATGTATTATTACCTAACACAGTTAGTAGGCGTTCAGCAGCCACTATTACGATTCATAATTGAGGTATGGGGAAGTCCACGTATCATTGGCTGAGCTAAATTAGAATTAATGTGTAAAGGTTAAGATCTAGTTTAAATAGGATTGGCTGTCCTGGTGATGTCAATTTATTTTGTTTCATATTTTTTTTTATGTAAGAAGCCAAGTCAGGTGACACTGTTATTCAGACTTCCTGGTTTGCTATTCTGACTTCCTGGATCTCGTCCGGATGCTGTTTGACACAGTTTAAAACTAAATCTCGTGTATCTAATTGCTGATAAATTTGGTTGTAAGAATCGTTCTTCAACTCTACCAGCGAGCGAGCCGTGATTTAAACGCTCGTACACAAGGTGGCAATTGTATTGGTTAGGCAGTGTCAGGGGGTGAAGGGTTCTTAACGGCAGAATTTGGCCGGATCATTAATTGGCCTAATGCCAAAAAAAATCAACGATGAATCACGTATTGTTACAGACGATGATCATGATGATAATGACGATGATGATCGAGTCACAGGTATTTATGTCAAGCAGGTGAGAAGTCAAGAGACGATTCTGATGATAGTGATCGTTTTGTGCGTCAGTGCGACACCTCCGACGTTGAGAGGTCCGATGAGGAGGTCGTCGGTGTCCGAGATCGGGCCACTGTCCCCAAATGACCAGCAAAGCAGCCGTAGAGGCAGGGGGTTGCCTGTAACACACAACAAACACAGACAAAGTTCACCCCTAGAGCCTCAACAGGCTGTTTGGGGCAAGTGCCGTCAGCAGGCACCTATGGCGGTCGGTACGGCACATGAGGGGGAGGTGTGGCCAGCACCACGTATGGCCGCCTTTGTCTCCCCAGCAGGCGATGTTTACACACCACATCAGGTCCTCATGTAAGGCTGAGTCGATCTAGGGGAGGCACAAGACTGGTTCAGGAACGGTTCATTGATTACCGATGTTGGCCATGAGCGGGAATCAGACTTAGTTTGCTGGGTTTGTAGCGCAGTGCGCTAAAACGCAACACTGCCGCTCCCCTGTAACAACTAAAACAACAACAACCATCGTCACACACTAGCATACACCACACAAATATACTATATACTCACCAGCACACACATAAAAATAATACTAAGAATGTTGTGTTTCTATGCGGCATCACAGTCATAGTGATAATTATAATGATGATAACAATGCTGTCATAAGGATGATAATGACAATGACCACGATGTTGGTAATGATAATGGTTGTGAAAATGATAAATGACGATGCCGGTGATAATGATGATGCTGATGGTGGTAGGTAATGATCATGAAGATATTAGTGATAAGGATGACAATGATAATGATGGTGATGACAATGATCACGATGATGACGGTGATAATGACAATGATCACGATGATGACGGTGATAATGACAAAGGTGATGACGATGATGGTGATGACGATGACGGTGATGATGATGTGAAGCACCCACAGACGCGACGAGTGTGCCCGGCCAACGCGGAGCGCAGCGCCGTAAGCGCCCACCCCGCGTCCAACTCCTGGCGCTCGCTCTGCACCACAAGCGCCAGTCCCTGCAGCGCATGGGCCACGTTGCCACGCGCCAGCGCCAGCGCCAGCACATCCAGCTTCACCTCCCCGTCGGGACGGCGCCTGCGGGTACACCGCGGCGGGACACGGGTCAGCGGTGCCGGCAGCACCAGCGGCGGCGATGCCCTCGTCATCGTCATTATCATCATCACCGGCAGCAGTCGGAGCAGGTTCATTGTTGTCATAATCATTACCATCGGCAGCAGCAAGAGCAACAGTGGCAGAAGCAGATTCATCATCGTCGTCATCATCATCATCAGCAAGGGCGGTCTCATCATCGTCATCAACAGCAGCTGAACGAGCAGCAATGTAAGTGGTCTCAGTCTTCATAACCAACAGCAGCCGCAGTAGAAGCAGATTCATCGTCGACATCAGCAGCAGCAAGGGCAGTCTCATCATCGTCATCGTCGTCATCATCATCAACTGAATGTGCAGTACCATTTTATATTTTATATATATTACGTGCGCTTACCCAGGATAGCTTCACCGAGTCTAATGACTCTCTCACGAGGGTTCTGCCACGTTTTTGCACAACTATCACCACCATCAGCAGCATCACTACCATCAGCAGCATCACTACCATCACCAGCAGCAGTACAACCAGCGCCACAATGACCAGCACCATCAGCACCACCAGCAGCAGAAACATCACCACCATCGACATCATCACCAGCACCATCAGAACCAGCAGCAGCAGAAACATCACCACCATCAACATCATCACCAGCACGACCAGCGCCACGATGACCAGCACCACCAGCAGCAGCAGCAGAAACATCACCACCATCGACATCATCACCAGCAGCAGCAGAAACATCACCACCATCAACATCATCACCAGCACGACCACCGCCACAATGACTAGCACCACCAGCACCAGCAGCACTAGAAACATCACCACCACCATCAACATCATCACCAGCACGACCAGAGCCACGATGACCAGCACCATCAGCACCACCAGCAGCAGGGCCACCTGTGTAACGTGCGGAGCAGCTCGCCGAGTCGGTGCAGAGCGGAAGCCACGGCGTCGTCTGGCGCAAGGTCCATGGCCGGCAGCAGCGCGAGCGGAGGCAGCTGCCGCAGCGCCGAGCTGAGCGACACACGCACCAAGGGGAGCCATCGTTGGGCTGCCTTCATCATAAACTTCCTCTTAAACAAATCCAGCAATTATCCAAAGTACCACTTAGAAGTGCCTCCTCATTCATAGACAAAAAATCATCCGTTTGTTCGTGACATTATTTAGTACAAATTTCATTTGTCACTCTTCCTTTTGTTGGTCCCTGAATAACCCCACACAGAGCTTGCAAGCCCCTGTTCCGAACTTGTTTTTCTGGTGCCTCTTGCTCTCATTACATTAGCACACTGCCTTTTTCCCCCATTCACGAGTGTTTCATTTACGACCGTTAAAACAGCTTGTTTTTTTTGTGCAACATTCCTTAAGGACCCGGGACTCGTTATCCGCAATGTCGACGTTATTCTATTTTGTTTTTGTTGCTGCTGCTGTGCTCACGCTCTACGCATCTCCATCGTAAAATAGCTGGGCAACTTTATAAATGGCACCATCATCCACGTAACAAATTAAATAAACTAAAACTCAAATAAACTCCGCCATTGGACTTACGTAGAGACCCATCACCTGACACTGCGATTCATAGACTTACACAGAGATCCAATAACTTATGCAGTCTCGTATACTTTCAGAGACCCACAGACTTACAAAGAGACGCACAGACTCACCAATTAAGGAGGCGGTAATCCTATTATGAACCATGATTTCCCCCACATGCCTTTGACATTGCAGATCGCAGATTTTCCGATTGAGCCATTCTCAAGAACGTAACCCCCGCAATGAGCAAGTTTTTGTGTACATATATTTTTTTCCTTTTGAGGCGATACAAACTGTGTTACTGACAGATGTGTTGAGCGTTTTTGTCAACTGCGTTTGTGCACCACCGCCAACGCAGCAACAGCAGCAGCATCACCGAACAATCTGTTTCTATTACTAAGTTCACTTTGCCAAAAAAGTGCTCTTCCACCCTCTGCTTGTACACCTCGATTTCACGGTTCTGATCCCGGTCCACATGAAACAAGTGCCCTCGGTGCATATAAAAAGACAAAGATCCCCCCCTATAGCCTGAACAGACTGTTGGGGCAAGTGGTGTTAGCGAGCACCTATAAAGGCCAGCAACGGCACACGAGGGGGTGGGTGGCCAACAACACGCCCGGCCGCCTTTGTCTTCCGAGTGGCAATGTTTACACAACGGACCAGGTACTAATTTAAGGCCGAGTCGACCTAGGAGAGGCCCAGGACCAGTTCAGATAATCGTCACTGGTGTTGGCCATGAGCGAGAATCGAATTCAGGATCCCGGGTTCGTAGTGCTGCGTGCTAACCACGTATGTATGTGTATGCACATACATACAGCAACCACGTATGTATGAGTATGCACATACAAACACATGCGCTCTGCTTTGGTTTCCAGGCTCGTGTCTGCCAAGGGAATTAGCAGCCAGAATGCCTGAGCTGATGGCAACCTTGGCAGTATTGGCTTGTACATACTGATCAATAGTTATTTCCGCAGCCACTAATATATTGCAAAGTAGATATTAAACAGAGGTAAATAAATAAATAGAGACATAATTCAAGTAAAAATTACAGTGAGGCACAAAAAAATGGTCACACGTGGATTAGAAAACGTAAGTAGGCTCAAGATATCATCTTGACTTGAAAGCGGTGGCTGAACATGGGCAGTACCGAGTGTCTTAACTACAGACGCGACACTCACCACATTGACATTTACCACATTGACACTCGCCACACCCATCACCTTCACCTTAGCTGTGTGGCGAGTGTTTGTGCGTGACACCACGCTCACCGGAGCTGGGTGGCAAGTGCGTGGGCAGCGTCGATGCTCTGTTCGGCGCTCTGCGACGCCTGAAGCGCCAGCGTGACCACACAGTGTGCTGTCACAGCCTCGATGGCCTTGGAGAGGGGGCCCGGGCCCCCCATGTGGCCCCCCACCAGCAGCCCTCGCACCCTCATGCGGCCCTCCGGGAATGAGTTCTGCACTATCTCCAGCTTCACCACTGCTGAGACAAGGGGGAGATGCACGAGGGGGGAGACACGGGCGGACACATGGGGGAGAAACACGGGTGGCAGACGGGGGGGGGGGGGGGGGGGAGACACATGGGGGAGAGACACAGAGGAGGTGATATCCTCTTACTTGGGTCATTTCTACCATGAAAGTTCGCACTGCTCTGATGACATTCTGCCAAAAAAACAAATGCCCGGTCCTCCTTCCCCCTCTCTCCCACTCCCCCCTCCACTACAACCACTCTTCTGCTCTGCACTACCGCCCCCCGCCCGCCTGCCCCACCGCTGCACGCCACCCACCCTCTGCGGTGATCTCCTTCCCCTGCAGTAACTCCACGTAGCCCGTGCTGGCAAAGGGGACGAGCGTGGAGGTGACGGGCTCCAGGCGCCCCGGTCTTCCCGCCAGCACCTCCACTTTGGCCGGTATGCTGGAGCCGTCGCTTGCCACCACGCCGATGGCCAGGCGCGTGAGCACCACACCGGGCCACGGCCACATCCTGCCGGGTGATTGGGTACAAGTACAAAAGGTAAGAGACAAAGATCCCCTGCTTAGCTTACACCGACTGGTGGGGCAAGTGCTGCTGGCGGGCACCTACGAAGGCCCGGATGGCGCATGAGGAAACGGTGTAGGCCACCTCTCCCCCCACGCCACGCTCGGCCGCCTTTGTTTCCCCAATTCTGACGTTGGCACACCACACCAGGTACTCATTGAAGTTTGAGGCTCAGGATCAGTTTAGATCAATCACCAGCCGTGGCAGGGAAAGGAACTCTGGAAGCTGGGTTGGTAACACAGCACGCTAACCACTATGCCACTGCTCTGCACACACAATGAGCACTAAAGCTACTTAAGTTGAAACAATTAGCTGTTTAAGTAGACTCTGTAAAGTTTAAAGTGCAGTCCTGCTATTGCTTGTTCATGTTCCCCACTCTTCCACGCTGGCCGGACATGTGAAACGAGGTGGGTGCACCCATACTTCACCCCACCACTCTCATTTATGCTACCGGATGGACAGAGGTGGTGGCAGCCACCTTAATTCCTCAGTTAACGAGGTGAACACGTCACATTTGGTGCTCGACACATTTCTGTACGTGCGACAAACAGTTTTTTCATTCATGCCGTTTACCGGGAATGCAAAAACTAAAACGAACGTAACCAGCATCGCCATCACGTACCCGATGGATAAGCTATGCTCAGTCTTCCAAAAGGTCTGCAGTGTCCCATCCGTCAGGTTGTCCAGTGTCAAGTTGTTGCACGAAGCCTCCAGGCGGCTGAAGCACTGGGTCAGCAGCCTCCTCCCTCTCCTCCTCCCAGCACCAGCGGTGGAAGCATCATCATCGTCGGCGCTAGGGTCACCGTCCCCTTCCATTAACTTGGCCCAAGCATCATCCTCTGTGGGGCACGGGCGGTGCGGAGTGTGCAGAGGTGTGTCTTGATTCGTCAAAATGTGTGGTTGCAGATTCCGTTGTGCAGTAGGGTGCTCTGGCTGGGGCCACCTCAACGTGTGAAGCGGTGGGAGTTCAGTAAGTGTGGTGTGACAAATGTCACCCAAAGCTGTGGTGTGGCCAATGTTCAGCGGCGTGGCCGTCGTTGTGGTAAGAAAAAATTTCACCCAAACGTGCCGTGTGGTTGGCGATCAGTAGTGTGATGCGGCTTGGGGCCATGTAAACATACGGCGTGGCTGACACCACCTACACACGTTGCATGGTGTGGCAGGATTCAGTGGCGGTGTCCCGGGTAGCCTGGCCACCGCCACGACAACTCGGTCTCCTACCGGCCTGGTCGAGTTCGGCCTGCGCCAAGGTCTCCTGCACCAGCGTGGAGCGCACGAGCCACAGCGTCTCGGCGGCCGTGGCCGGGGCCCACTGAGAGCCAGGGCCGCGGGGAGCCACGTGGTCGCCGGGCACGCGGTGCTGCCACAGGGCCTGCGCCATGCGCCCCACCAGCTCCTCCCGGAACGTGGTGGTGCAGTCCTTCCCGTACACGTCCACTAGGCCTGAGGGTGGCGCAATAATGGCGGGCGTCACGCGACGGCAGATGCAATCGCACCGCGCCGGACGAACCCGCACCGTGTAATTCTGCGCCGGCGACAGAGCACGTCACATACCCTTGCCACGCCACAACATGCCACCGCAAACGAATGTTCTTTGTTTTTAACGCATTCCAACGAAGGTTTAAAGTGTCAATGCATTTGCTCTGTCCGTCTGTCTGCCATCCTGAAGTGATGGTGGGACAGGGGACGGGCTTATGATAATTCTCTTAAAGATGATCGAACATCAATTAACTTTTTCGTAAAATAAAATTTTTATTTCTATTTAGAGCTTACCCAATAGAAAACTGGACAAATTGATCAAAAGGTTGTCTAAAAAATTGTAAACGCGGGTTAACATACTTTTGGATAAAATGCAAACATACTTTGTGCTGACAGCCACCCGTCAGCTCCAGTCATTCGAATTAAACACTTCCTAGGACTAACACATGTTGGGATGGGTTACAGAATCCGTGCGTAATCAAAAGTGAGTGTGTGCTAGTGCGGGACGTGTCATGCTTAAAAGTAATGATGGCCCGTGCCCGAGATGACATCCACAGCACACATGGAGCAATGAGATAAGCTCCTGTAGAGAAGGGAGATGGATTTTGATTTCGCAGGACTCTAAGTGGTTTGATCATGGCTGACGATTACAATGCTCAAAATGTCCAACTATAAAAATCCAGCCCTGTAAGAGACTGTGCGTGCCAATCGGTGCATTACTTCCTTGTGCACTCCGATATGATAATCCCTCCGGTGACTCACCATTCGATATTCGAGTACGAAACCAATTACAGTATCGACTTATCAACAACTCTTTAACGACCATCGTCCCTGGGCACAGCGCCCACCGGTGGAGAAGGTGGCGCGGCTCAGCATGGCAATGGCGCGCTCCTTCTCTCCCAGCGACGTCGTCTCGTACGCCAGCATCATGGCCCCGTACAGGGCCTGTATGTCCACGCGTCCCTCCAGCTCCAGGTCAAAGCTGCTCAACGCCTGCGTGGGCACAGAGAGACATGGCTCCGATACCCACAGCGCTCACACCCAAGATGCAGAAACTACCCCCCCTCTAACACAGCCCTGGGCCTCATTGGTGAAGTACCCTCGCCCCACATGGATGACCTGGTAATCATTGGTGGATAGGCACCAACCCTTCATGAGATTAAGATGCCTTGGGACTAATTGGTGAAGGAAGCCCCATTGCCCCAAAGACTGCCCTGGGGGTTACTGGTGCTGCCCTCGGGGTCATTGGGGTTGTTGTGGTTTTTGTTGATGCTGGGCCCCAGTTGCTTTGACTCGGGCTGTATGGCGGTGTTGTTCTCTTGCAACATTATCATATTGCCCTGTCCTCTCCCATGCCCCCCCTTGCACCTAATGAGAACCAAGTTAAACACAACTATGGGTCTCCATAAGAGTTATTGGTGATCAGGCTGATAACATCTTGAGAACCTGGTAGTCAAGGGTGGCTTAAACCCAGAATCAAATCCAGTTGCTCAGCAAAGCCGGCTCAGCGTCTCAGACCAGTGGGACCACACAGGCACCACCTTATTTTCGTTAAAAATTATAACTTTTTAAAATGATTAACTTCACATTCATAAATATCTGACAAATCACCATAAACGTGCCCGAATCTCGTCTCAATACCAACGAGGCTCAAAAATCCTGATGAGTTTCCGCGACCTGACCGAGACTGGATGAATGATTTTCAGGTTTATTCGAAACAACCGCTGCATGCGCTACGCATGGCCAAAGGTGGCAGGGCGTGCTTCCTCGGTCTCGGCATGTCACAGCCTCCTCGCCCACAACCCGAGGGCATTGGGTAACATTTAATTAACTCGTTTGACTTGCGCCGACTGAAAATAGCCATCGAAGGAAACTGCACCCACAATTTATTTGAGCCTGCTGCATAGGCATTCACAGTTGCGCTCCTGTGGAGCTCTCAGACATGCTTTCGTGTTGTTGTTGTTGTACCCCAAGTTGTTGGTCAGCACGATGCCTGCTGACGTTTAGTTCGACGTGCTGGCCGGCAGCTTCCTCACCAACTCAATAGCTTTCTTCTGAAACCAATGGTGCCACGATCCCTCTCATCCACGTGTCCCCTGGGTGCCCACACCCCCCAGTTCCTTCTCACTCCCTTGGGTGCCCCCCTTAGCTTGCTTAGTCCCCTGCCAGGTCCCCTCATTCCCCCCTTGGTTCTTTTAGTACCCTGGAAGTGACAAGCGTCCCAATTCAACCCCTCCATCTTCAGGAGGTGAAAGGTGCCCCCCTTGACATCGTAAGTGACAGATGGCCTTCCCCACCCCCTTGGTCCCTTCAATGCCCCCGCGGGGGTCCTCTTCGTGTCAGGAAAACACATTCCTGCGGAGGGAGCTGGTCGGAACGTTGGGTTGCTCGGTCAATGGCCAGGGTCAACGGCGGCGTGGAGTATTCCGCAAATATGCCCGACTGTGAGGGCGGGCACAAGCCGGCGTGAGTAGGTTAAACGTTGCGTTTTATAAGGGCACCACGGGGTGACCAGCCCCTCCCCACCCAGCCCCACCCCACTCTCCCCTCTCCACCCAGCCCCACACCTCCCATTTTTGGATGCACGACGGACACAATAATCCCCTGTGGGCTGGTGGAACCATGTGGTTCCTACCCGTACGAGAAACTCAGAATCTGAAGATGTATTTATACTGCAGGAGGAGGAATCCGATGAGCTACAGAGCTCTTTTCTACAGGTGTCCAGTAGGGGCGGTGAAGAACGTTACGTTGTACTATCATGCAAAAACATGATAACAGTACAAAGTACAAGAAAGGTAAATCAATCACTCAAACAAAAACAAATACAACACTAAACCATCTATGAACTTATTTTTCAGAAGCGACCTGGCCACAAATGATAGCGCATTAAAGTGGCCTGTCATTTGGGCATCTATAGCAGCAAAAACATCTAAATAACCTCAATGCATGTTTCTGAATGTGGAGGGACATACATGAGTTTCCCATGAATCCCCACGGAATTTCGAGATGAACTAAACTAATTTAATTTGACCAGGTAGCTCGACAAATGACAGCTCAACAGAGTGGCTTATCACGTGCAACTTTATAGCAGCCAAATACTCTTAAACGCACGTTTGTAAACAAGGGCAGGGGTGAGAAGGAAACACGCAAACTCCACACACGTGGAGCAGCAGCAGCAGCGGCAGCGGGCGTCGTGGTTGGGATCGAGCCAACGACCTCTGGTACACCACGAGAGGCAATGAACATCTCCACCCACAGCGTGGCGGTGACGGCAAGTGTCTCCCTCTCTCACCACCACCACCACCCCTCACCACCAGCCCTCACCACCACCACGACCACCCCTCACCTCCACCACCCCTCACCACCACCACCACCCCTCACCACCACCCCTCACCACCCCTCACCGCCACCACCACCCCTCACCACCACCCCTCACCACCACCACCACCCCTCACCACCACCCTCACCACCACCACCACCCCTCACCGTCACCCCTCACCTCTTCCACGTCCCTCATCTGCACCCGGTCCAGCTCCACGCTCCTGCAGCGGCCGAGGATCTCCCGGAGCGGCAGGGCGACGCGGCCACGTCCCAGGGCCTCGTCCAGCAGGTTGCGCACGCCGTACTCGCGGCCTATCGCGAACAGCAGCTGCTGCGACACGGACCGCCCGCCTCGCAGGCCGCTCGCGTCCTTCAGCCGCAGAGCGCGGCGGGCCGAGTTCGTGTCCAGTGCCGGGAAGCCGCCGCCGCCGCCGGCGGGCGAGGCGGCCTCGTCCGTCTTCGCTTTTGGCGGCCGCGTCGCCCCATCGGCCCGGGCCGCGCTGCCACCCGCAGCGGCGGCGGCTGCGGCGGCAGCGGGGACGGCGGCTGTCTGCGCGGGCGGTAAGCGCGCTCTCTGAGGAGCCCATGACGGGACGGGGGGACGTGCGAGCAGACAGCGGAGGGAGAGAGACGAAGGCGGCCGCGCTGTTTCAGTGACAGGCGCTGACGGGCGGCGGCCAACCCACGGGGATGGGCGGGGGGAGGTTTGTTTGGTGTGGGGCCTGACGTCACGGTGGACATGTTGGGTGGGGGTTGCGGTCAGCCAATGCGAAGGCGGTGAAGCTGTGGATGGCCATGTTGGGTAAGGAGGGGGGTCAGGCAATGAGAAAGCGGTGACGCCGGGGCGGCCATGTTGAGTGGGGGAGTCAGCCAATGAGTAGGCAGTGGAGCCGTGGCGGCCATGTTGATTAGGGGGCGGCGGCGCGGGAGTTGCAGGATAAGCAGCCTATGGCATGATTCAGACTTCTGCCTTCTCGACAGACCTGTTCTCCACCTGAAGACGGCTGCTTGCGTTGTGGCCGAAACGTCGTGAGAATTATTTTATGTTTTATTTTTGTTATTTTATTATTTTCCTTCTACGTGACTTTACCGAAAGAACCAAGAAGATGATTTGGTTCCATTGTTAATTCCTAAAATTTATGTTCGATGTCTCCGGTAATTATGGGCATTAAGTTATTTAATTACGTCGATAATTGAACATGTATTGAACACGTTTTAAATAGCGATTATTTGGTTCTTTTGGTAAAGTCACGTCGATCAAAAAACAATAATAAAAAGAAAGTGAATACAAAAAAAATAACACATAAATATACGTAATAAAAAACACGAACGTCGACTGTAGCCTGGTTTTCTTGTCCACCTCCACCGTCAGCAGTGTGGCTGTGTGGAGCGAGGTGCAATGCTCTGATTGGTGTAGACCTCCTGCCGGTGTGGAGCCCGCTCCCTCATTAACATAAGCTGCCCCGCCCCTCTCTGAACCTTTATAAGCAGCTCTCTGATTGGTGTAGACCTCCTGCCGGTGGTTGTGGAGCCCTCTCCCTCATTAACATAAGCTGCCCCGCCCCTCTCTAAACCTTTATAAACGGCAATAGATCACGAAGTTTCGATCGCAACACAAGCAATCCCACCTGATGACGATTGCTTGTGTTGCGATCGAAACGTCGAGATATGTTGATTATTTAGTATTCACTTATTTTTTTTTTATCTACGTGACTTTACCGAAAGAACCACCGAATATGAATTCCTGCAGTCACGAAAGTTTTAAGTCAAAATGTAGCCTGGTTCTTAATCGAAGTGAGTGTACTGGCAGTCTATAATGTAGACTGTAGCCTGGTTATTAAGCTGAGTGAGTGTACTGGTAGTCTATAATGTAGACTGTAGCCTGGTTATTAAGCTAGGTGAGTGTACTGGCAGTCTATAATGTAGACTGTAGCCTGGTTATTAAACTGAGTGAGTGTACTGACAGTCTATAATGAAGATTGTAGCCTGGTTTTTAAGCTGGTGAGCGTATTTGCAGTTTATGACGTAGACTGTGTGAGTTTGTCTGTTACTCTGGCCAGATATTTTATTTAAAGCCCATCCTTGAGCGCATAACATTTGCGAAACACATTCAATTAAGCATTGCATTTTTGGTATTTTTAAATGTCAGTAAAAATGTTCATTTATAGTTTGAGAAACATTACATCCGGTTTATGACTGTCAGATTTACCATATACATTTATGACGCCAATATAGAGGGACTCCTCTATTTACGAACACTCGACTTACGAACTTTCAGAGATACGAACAAACTTGTCCGTATGTCGAGTTGCCTGTTCGGACCGAGAGTCATAAGTTCAACCGCCCGCGCAGTAGATGGCGGTGGTGACATCTACATCTGCAGAAGATGAAGAAACAGTGCCATCTACACCTACGGGAGATTATACAACCTTTGAAGCCATTTCCCTTGTTTCGTGTACGTGTTTGGAATTGGCAGGAGTAAAGTTGGACTTTGGAACAAATTAACTTATGATTCATAAGTAGAGGAGTGCCTGTAAGCCCACAATCGATCGACACAGAGACGTAATGTACGACCCATCTTCCAACACGACTTCAAACACATTTGAACAGCGGTGTTTCCACCGTGCGACGGAGTAGAAAGTCCGTGATTTTTTTTCTCAATAGGCCAAGTCACTTCAGCAGAGGAATGAAAAATACAATGTAAGAAAAAAATATTTTTTACATAAAAATAGATTTGTGTCAATTTCAAAAATAAAATTCATGTACACTTTGCACTATTGGCCCTATTGAGAGCACTAACGGATTGTTATCTAACATGTTATTAAGAATGGTTCATACGTTGTTTTTAAATTAAACAAAGATTCCTCAATGCTTTTGTCTTTTCATTTCTTAGAGTAGGTTAGATGTTACTATTGCATACCTCCACAGGACCGAGGAGATGTGAGGGCTCATAAGGCCGGAAATCTTCAAGTTACGGTCATTCAGTTGTTTTTGTTTCGTTTCTATTTTCCTCATTGCTGAACTTTGTTTTGTTGCTGTTGTTATATTTGGTGACTCGGGTCACTCTTGCAAATTATACTTATCCTCGGTCTCTTGAAATCTCACCTAATTAAACAAAATCATCTCGAATTAGATTTGTTTTGGTTAGTTACTCTGCATGCTTTAAAAAATGTCGGCTTCACCAACACCCTTCAACCCAAAGGCAGGAAACCCCCTACAAGCCACTCCCAGTTAGACACACCTGATGATGCCGATGACATCACGAAGCCCCAAGCATCACCTCCCGTCCAGTGGCACACAACTATTTCACTGTTATCCCATTAGTCTGGTAATCAAATAGATGCTCCATAGAGTCATTGATAACTTAGGCATAGGCAATGTTATTTATGCTGGAAAATCCCAATGAGCTGTGAAGATATGTCCACAGGAGTGAATAATTCAGCCTAACTCCTTTTACACATTATACATGCAAGATTCCCATCGCTGCTGAGCTTTCTGAGAATCTATAGGCTGATTTGGATCAGCTTAATTTCAGCCGGGTTTGTCCGACTCACTGCCCCCTGGCCTTGGCCTGGCTCCCCGAGCCAGATTGAGATGTCCTTGTGTGGGAGCAGCGCATCACGTTTGGTTTCGTTCCAGTTTGGCACGTAAAGTATCCAGTCGAAGTCAACCCATGCCGTTGGCTCCGCTCGGATGTGCCGGTGGGTAAGGGTTTTGTATAGGCGCACAAGCACACACGTGGCTTCAGGTTTATGCGTGTAGGTTTATTAGCGTCAAACCAACCGACTAGACCGCACCACCAAACCCCACCGCAGCGCAAGCAGCCGACTGCCACAGACCACGTTCACAATCGCGGAGCACCGGTCAGTCCGTATCAAGAACGCGACAGAAGTGAAACGTGAACAGGAAGGGGAGGTGGGCCCATGCGCCAGTGGTGCAGCTGAGTTAGGGTTTGGGATAGGAGTAGCATTAGACCCTGATTGACTGCTTAGCTCGTGTGGATAGAGCTAAAGGTAGTCCCAGTGTCTGATTGGCTAGCGTCCTCCGCCCCCTAATTGCTTGTCCCCTCCTACTGTTTACCAGCTATTGACGTTTCACTGTAGCTCTTTAATTGCTCTTTGCCTTTCAGTGTTTGGTGGCGAAGAGCTCCAAACGTGGTCTAGTGGGGGCGCAGCCGTCGGTGGTGTGTGTGGGGGGTAAGGTGCCCCCCCTCCTGCCACGATCGGCGTAAAACATGTCCCCCCTAACCCCGGACATGCGGACCCAAGCATGTGTATATTAGCCCCAAGTGGAAAGGAATTACACATTTCGCTAATGTACATGCTGCAGGGAGCCTTGAGCTTTGCGTTGTCGAAGGAAAACTCGGGTGGCGTTTGGAGTGTTTGGGGTTTTCACGTTGCGTTAATTTGATCGATCTCCGAAACGTTTTTCCTTTGTTCGTGTAAAAAACAAACGGGACGACGGCTCGCGGTCAAAATCCGTTCGCCGCTCATCCCATGAGGGTCGACGAGAGCGCTGCGGAAAACAGGCACACACAACAGAAAAACAAGGTCATCGTCCAGCCATCGTTCACGCCCCCAATGCCACAATCATTCCAATAGGAGAAAACAAGAGTGCGTCCCTAACCCTAACGCACTCATGTTAGACCCCTTCCTCCCTGCTCCCTTGAATGTACCCTGGGTGTTGCAGGCGTGCGTCTTACAGCAACAAGGACCTTGGTTCCTGATTTGGGCGCATTTCTGCATGCTGTTAGTAAGCTGTACACCTGCCCTGCACGGGTTTTCCCTGGGTTCTCTGGTTGCCTCCCATAGCCAAACACGTACAATGTCCTTGGTGATGGCCAAACATCCCAATGCTGGACCCTCCTGAAACTTGAGTCTTCGGGTTGAGTGTGGCTTTCCTGGGTAGATGAGTAATTATTATGAGTAGAGTTTCGATAATAATTGTTCCCGTGGTCTCGGGTCATGAGACGAAATGTCTGTTTGAAATTCTATCAATGAGCAGGGCATCATCCCGTGCAGTAGAGAAAAGCCCGCTGAAGCAGATATCACAGAACTGCTTCTGACATTTCTTCGAGATGGTGGTAAAAATGTAATATCTTTTAAGTCTCAGAGCCAGATTAAGTGACAAAGCAAACTACATATTACTTTTTTGGAACAGTCATTGGTGACCGGGCTGAAACCATTAACTCCACTACACTTGAGAATCCAATTCAACCACAATTGGGCCCAGATCTCAGCTGTGCCGATTCAGCGTCTTTGACCCCCCAAGCCACACCCAGGCTATACAAAATTATCTTCAAGTGATGCCCTCTTTAGTTAATAAAAATAATCATCACATTCGTCAGTGTTTAGTTTCAATGTTTGCTGGTTTACTCTTTTGTCCCGGTGTTCATCTCACCGTGTCCACCTCCAAAACTGGTGCTCATGCTGCTGCTGCCTCCACCGCTGCTGTAATTTCCGAAGGAGCTACTTCCACCACCGCCGCCTGAGCTGAATCCACCGCCGCCAGAGCTGAATCCCCCACCGCCAAATCCACCACCGCCAGAGCTGAATCCACCACCGCCAAATCCGCCACCGCCACCACCACCACCCAATCCGAGACCCAGCCCGAATCCGCCACCGCCACCACCGCCGCCACCACCACCACCACCACCACCCAATCCGAGACCCAGCCCAAATCCACCACCGCCACCGCCACCACCACCAGACATGGTCGTGGACTTGGACATGGAGATGGTGATGCCGCCCCCGCTGCTGATCCTGCGTGGCCACGGGGAAGGGTGCGGGTTAGCAGGAACAGTGGTAGTGGTGGAAGGTGAGTCGGTTGTGCACACCCAAGTCGGGGAGAGCACACTGCATTGATGTTGGAGCACAGTACAAAACAACAATGGGATTTGCAGCACTGCCCTCTGCTGATAATATAGCCCTACAGAACATTCAAGCGCTACCCAGGCTCAAGCCTGTTAGCTTCTGAGATCAGACAGGATTGCGTGCATTCCAGGTGATTTGATCACAGGCTATTAAAGAATGACGCTGCACTGGTGACAACTGCAACCACTTTGTCCACATCTGAGTAAGCAGTTATGCAACCAGATAACTCTCGAAATCACACAACTCAATCATCGCCTGCAACTGCTTTGTCCGCGTCTGAGCGAGCGGTTGCACAGCGAGGAAATTCAACAGCACATTCAGGATCATAACGACCAATCGTAGTTCGCAAATATGTCACATGACGATGAACCGCAATCGATGCAAATCGCTGAGCAGATCGCTAGGAAGTGGCCGCTCGGCAACTGTTTTGCAGAGGCTTCCACATTGTTAGCAACTTGGTTGCATGCAACTGAGTTATACATGGTGCAATGTACATTTTTATTACCGCTTTAGTGGAAACGCAACGAGAATCTGGACATTTCTGCTGGTGAGCTGGGTGGCCATTTGACTATTGGCGTCAACACTGCCAGTGGAGCTGACTGTCACTTGAAGATAGCAGCAGAAAGATTCACAACAGCAGGGACGCGTCACCACGATAAGCCCGTCAAGGGGACCTCACCTCGCCTCCTCGCTGTCCAGGAGTTTCCTGTAGGCCGCGATCTCAATGTCCAGCGCCATCTTGTTGGCCAGCAGTTCCTGGTATTCCTGTGCGTACTGCGCGATTTGCTGCAGGGGGGGAGGGGTTCAGACGTCACGGAATGCCGTTAGACAAAAAAAAATCTACAAGTCCAAATTGGATAGTTATTCTATGGGCGTGTGGCAGTGGTCACTCGGCATGAAGTCATCACTCGCACTGCACCAATCGGCTGCAAGCGAAACAGCCTCGTGCAAAATGGCTAGTGTGACGTCACTCGTGCAACATGGCCGCCGGGACGTCATTGTTTTATGCTTCAGCCAGTCTGTGGCTGAGGTAAGTGCATTTGCGTTATCAATATTGATCATATTCGTCAAGAATAATTGGTAATAACATTAATAATCACGAAATTTAATTTATTATCGATTAACTTTTTAGCTACTTTGACAATCGACACAAGAGTGGTCCTGACCACTCCAAGGTTCTCTGCTCGTGTCACGAGCTTCATTTGTCTTAACTCGCGAAAGGAATTGGAGTTGTGGCAAGTCGTCCCGAGGCTATAGCGCAACGTGCAAAAGTGATGCTGGTTGTCGCAGACACCCCTGCTCACCTTCTTGATGTCGTCGAGCTCACGTTTGAGCACGGCCAGCTTGTCCTGCCACTGCTCCAGCTGCGCGTGGCCGTTCGCCTCTGCCTCCTGGATCTGTGTCTCCAGCTCCGCGTTCTGGTGCACGCGGCGCGGAGATGGAGTCGGGATTGAGAACCGAGACCACCAACGATCAAGATGGCAATCTAAACTAAACTGAAAACTAAGCTATTTTTAGTTTACCAGCTAAGGCCTACTGAACTATATAATAGCTCTTTTTCAGAAGCGACCTGGCTATCACAAATGATAACTCCGCGATGTGGCTTATCACGTGGAAATTCATAGCAGCCAAATACTCTAAACGCGTGATGTTCATTCTAAACGCTGAGGGAAAAACCGGAGGACCCGGAGAAAGTCCACGTGACCAAGTGGATAACATCCAAATATACAGCAGCAGGCGTCAGGGTCGGGATCGAATCCACGACCTCCTGCACACCAGGCGAGGTAGCTAACATCTCCTAGCCACCGTGGTGCCCAAATCAAGACTGAGATCGGAGGAGGGGGGCGGTAGGGGGTGCACGCACGTCAAAGCGATAGCGAAGGCATTGGGCCACGATGACGCACGGTGGCGCCGTCGGCTGAAAAGGTGTCTCCGGCCCTTTCCTTACCGAGGGCTGAACAGGACTTTCAAAATTGGCCAAGCTGTGTGACCCTATATTGGGATGTTAACAAGGTGTTTTGTGCATGTGGGAGAAAACTGCAGTTTCCAGAGAAAACCCCATGCTTGCCGAGGCGGGGGTGGGGTGTAACACTCAATTCCCCTATGTATGGAATGCAGAAGGGAATTAATCCACATGCTTTACTGCCATAATGTCCCTAGCCAGCCAGGAGGTGGCGACCTCAAGTTTGAGGTGTGTGATGCACCAAACCTCACTGCATTCACAGTGCTGGAATACAGGCCACGCATGGCCACCACATTAACACACACACACACACACTTAAGTCACTTCTGTCACTGCTAAGAGGCCCTTGCAGATGTATCTGCTGTTTGGTCAACACGCGAATCTGGCCTGAGATATTTTTTATTTTGGGGCTAAATCCGTTGTTTATTTAATTATTCGCAACGTTAGAAACCTCGGTTGTTCGTGCACGAGTCTGTTGGTCAAAGTCCCGGCGCTTAGGCAACTTTCAAATGACAGAATCGAGTAAAATCGCGTTGGGACTGCAGGGAACTATGGTACTGAATATGACCATTGAACTTCTTACGTTCTTTCACCTGCATCAACAAGAGAATGACAATTTTTTGTGGTGCCGATCTTATGCCGTTTTTTGTTTGTTACAATTCTCTTAAAACTGCCGTGAGAAGATAACGACGTTTCGTTTTACAAGTGGCTCAACGGCAGACGACCCCGGAAGGGACGATTGTGGAACGCGTGTCTGGTCTCGCTTGGGAGGAGGCGCGCTTACCGCCTCCCGGATCTTGTCGATCTCGCGACGCAGGCCATCCATCTGCATCTTGAGCGAGCGCAGCTCCTGCTTAGCCTCGCCGAGGACCTGGTTTCCGGGCTGGACGGCGCCGACCACCTGTATGATCTGCGGGACAAGGGTGGTGACAGCAACAGCGAGGAGGGGGTAGGAGGAGTGAACATCAAAACGGACAAATGGACGAGATGTGAAGTGACCGGAGTCTCCCGTCCGTTACTGAAGCAGCCCCGGGGGTGCGGCCTGTATCACAGAAATGTTAAACTGGGACATCTAGATTTTTACAAAAGCCTCATGGGGGACAGAGGGATGGACATCCCTGCCAAACGGGGATGTTTGGCAGCTTTGGATTCAAGTGCAGAATCAAGAGGCCCTTATGTTTCCAAGTGTCCTGGATAGCGAAGATTCTTCGCGGCTGCACTTAGCAAGGATTGGAAAGTGCTACCCCTCATGTCCCTGTGTCCCCATGTCTTCCCGTGGTGTCTCTCCACGTCTCCTCGTGTGTGTGTGTGTCCCCGCGTCTCACCCGCGACTGCACGGATGAGAAGGCGTCCTCCTTGCTCTTGGCGGCCAAAGCCTCGTAGTGCCCGCGGACCTCGTTGAGCGCCGTGGTGAGGTCCAGTGCCTGGTTGTAGTTGTCCACCGTGATGGAGACGGCGGCGTTGGTCGAAACGCCCATGAAAGCTGACTGCACCTCCTTGACGCGCTGCACAGATGGATTGAAGGAGGAGGAGAGGTTTCAGGAGGAAAGTGGTAAATGGGGGGGGGGGGGGGCTTCGGGTGATGAAGATGACTATGATCTCATTCACTACTAAGCAGATAATAAAAGTCATATTTACACATCTCATCAGCCACGTGCCCTTCCGTCTGGGAGTGCATAATTCCAGCAGAATTGGTTAAACAAGCAAACTCTAGACCAGTCTTGACACTCAGCAGGGTCTGACTTGCTTGAACCTTCGCTGGTGAAAGTCCCTTGCTTATAAACATCTGGCAGTTTACCAGCACTGGTTCAAGCGAGCCTCGCGCTGTTGTTTACTGCATGGCTTCGCTTTTCCCCAAGCCTTCAGAAGGATACGTGCTTCACCCGCTTACAGATTAGATGAACTGTGAGATGACGGCGATGATTGATGATGATGATGATGAAGGTGGTGATGCTGGGGACGATTCTGGTCACGATCATGATGATTTTGGTGATGATGATTTTGGTGATGATGATGTTGGTGATGATGATTTTGGTGATGATGATGTTGGTGATGATGATTTTGGTGATGATGATGTTGGTGATGATGATTTTGGTGAGGCTTCACAAACCGCGTTGTAGAGTTTCTTCATGAGGTCAATCTGATCCTCCACGCCCTGCACCTTGGTCTGCAGCTCCACAATGGAGAGGTATGTCTTGTCCACCTCCTGTGTGGGCACCAATGTAGAGCAGTGCATAACGAAGTCCACCACTACCATCAACGACATCGACATCACCTCAAACATCGACACCTTCACGTCCACCCCAACCTTTACAGCCACAAAATATCCATCACCACCATCACTTCCATCATCAGCACTTCCTTTTCTATCACTACCTTACAACCATCTCGATCTTCATTTGCACCACGACCATCTATTTACTCCACCGAAACTACCATCACACAACCTCCTCCACCACCTTCACCACCATCTCGTCCTTCACCACCACTACCATCATCTCCACCAACTCCACCGTTATCTCCACCAACACCACCTCCATCACCTCAACCAGCACCGTCACCACCTTCCCAACTTCACCATCACCTGCACTTCACTATCACCACCACCTCAATCATCACCATCTCCACCAACTCAATTATCATCACCACCTCCACCACCTCAATTATCACCATCTCCACCACCTCAATTGTCATCACCACCTCCACTTTCTCGGTGCTTACATCTTTCAAGGTGTTCCACTCGTTCTCCAGGCTCTTGTTTGACTCCGCCTCCTCTTCATACCTGGCAGCAAGGTGAGGTAAAGAATAATGTGAGCTCCAAAAACCTCTCCTTCATCCCCATACCTTCCACCCACCCCCCTCTTCTCACGGGGACCAGGGTTATCTCCTTACATCCAGTGGCCAGGTCAGAGCGGGTTTACAAAGTTCACCCAAGTAAGCACTTAAGTCACACGAGCACGTTTTCAAATTGCATCCAGAAATGTTGTTACGCCACACCCAGAAATATTTGCAAAGTGCACCCAGAAATATTGATATGGCCACACCCATTGCGCATTGGCAAAGTGCACCCAGAAATATTGACATGGCCACACCCAGTGCGCATTGGCAAAGTGCACCCAGAAATATTGCTTACGGCCACACCCAGGGCGCATTTTGCAAAGTGCACCCATAAATATTTGATTTAATCACCTTTTGTGTGGATTTTCAAAGTGTACCCATGAATAAAGGTAAGGCCAAACCCATCAACACGTTTACATAGCTACACATATATATGTAAATGTGTGGCAACTACGAATAACACATTTTAAAAGCATACCCAGTATGGTATGGTTATATTCGAGAATGTGTTTAAAAAGTGTGCATTTTCAAGGTGCATCCAGAAATATCGGTACAGTCACACTCACACAAACATGTGCATAATTTTCAAGGCTTCTTGGGATTCCGTCATTCTAAGTGGCTTTATTAAAATCAAAGAATGAATTTCATGAGGCGTTTAATTTCCAAAATGCACCCCAAAAACACGCACTGCCACACACTGAAGCTCCATTTATAAAGTACACTCAAAAATAAAGTTATGACCACGTCCAAGAGCTCGTTTTCAAAGTGCACCCAGAATTCCACAGCCAAATTGTGTATTTTCAAAGTGCACCCAAAAATAAACCCGCAGCCACACCTAAAAGCTCGTATTCACAGTTCACCCAAAAAGAAAGCCATAACCACATCCGACATTTGCAAAGTGTACCTCACAAACTAAGGCACCCGCAAACAATACTACAGCCTGAACCAAGAGCTCGTTTTCAAAATGCACCCAGAAATATGCACACCGAAAAGTACACTTACAAAGTGCACCCAGAAATAATTTAACAAATACAGGCGAGAGCACATTTCCAAAATGCACCCAGAAATCAATGTTGCAGCTACACCCCACTGCACACTTACACAGTGCACCCATTTTACAGCCGCGGACAAGAGCACATTTTCAAGATGCACCCAATCGGTGAGTGTGCGAAGCTCTTACTTGGCCGTGTACTCCTGGATCACGCCCTTCCAGTAGTCGATCTCGGCCTCGAGCGCCGCCTTGAGCTGCCGCAGGCCATCGATCTGCGAGTTGAGGGCCCCCGTGACGGAGCCGATGAGCACTGTAGTGTTGGCCGGGCCGCCCGATTCCGTGTTGGTGTACATGGAGATCTGCGCCTTCAGGATCGCATTCTGCTGCTCCAAGTGGCGCACCTGTGGGAGGAGGGGCGGGTGGCCAGGGGTGGCAACCGTGGTCATGGTGGTGGCGGCATGGTTAGAGATACAGTGGTGGTGGGGTCAGAGATGTGGTGGTAGAGATGATGGCAGTGGTCGTGTTTATTTGAAATGTGAATATGATGGTGGTGATGATAACGTGTCCTGGCCAACACACTGGCGGAAGATCCGTTTCTCACAATTAATTAGCTAAGTCTCGCATCTCCTCGCGGGCATCACTTCACCATAACTCCACAGTCTACCAGAATCCTCAACTAAAGGGGGCCCTGATCCGCGTAATAGCTCGCCACAGGCGTTAACTTCGTACCCTATAGTTTTGAAGGGGGCCTTTGTGGCTGTGAGATAAAGGGATTACTGTGGAGATACTGAAATGTCACCGTTACTGGTAATTCAGGGGTCCCTTTATTTGACGAATTCCTGTGACTGAACAATCATGGGGACCCCTTATCTCATCTGGGGTTTCAGGGGTGCGTCTATGGGATGCGTGGTCCGGCGAGATCGAGACCCCCTGAGTCTGTCCTATCAACGTGGCCACACGTCCCCGCGGAGTGTCCCGCTCGTCATCGTCTACTGTGTGGAGGGTCAGCTGTAGCCCAGGGGATTGGAGAGAAACTACAGCCGAAGGGCTGGAACGGGCGGTGGCTTTGTTGAACTGTGCGGAGGGGCTGCCACCCCTCCATGTGCTCAGTGCCCCCCCCCTCACGCACCCCCAGGTGTCCGCCCAGGTGCCCCCCATCCGTCGTACCTTATCCACGAACCCGGCGAAGCGGTCGTTGAGGACCTGGAGTTCCTGCTTCTCGCGGATTCTGGTTCCCTGCACCGAGTCGATGGAAGGGAACGAGGCCGGGTCCACCTCCACCATGCCGGGCCCCGCGCCCAGCGAGCCGGAGTGCACCGACGTGACGGCGTGCGAGGTCGACTGCAGGAACGAGGGGTTGACCCCGTACGTGCCCACGTTGATGTTGGCGCCGACGCGGTTCCTGAAGTTGGTGGACAGCAGCCGGAGAGCGGCGGACGCACCGCCCCCCCTCGCTCCGAACCCGCCGGCTGCGAAGCCGCCCGCTCCACCGCCTCCTCCGCCGAACGAGAAGGAGGACCCGCTGTAGCCGCCGCCGCCGCCGTAGCCGCCACCGCCGCCGTAGCCACCGCCGTAGCCGCCACCGCCGCCGCCACAGTGGCCTCCTCCGAAGCCGCCGCCCATTCCGCGCGCCAGACCTACGCCGCCAAACTTGGAAGAACGAGAGCCGCCGCCGCCGCCAAAGTTGGACAGCACCCCGCCAAGGCCGGCACCGGAGTACTGCGCTCCATAGCGCACCGAGTGCACCGTGCGCGAGGAACGCGCCTCCGACATCGTCGCGGTGGTGGTGGTGGTGGGAGAGAGGTCAAGGAGGTAGCGGTGCTGGTGGTGCTGCTGGTGGACGATACGGAGGTGCCACTGCTGGTGCAGTTGAACGAGGAGGAGGAGGAAGATCGAAGCCGGAGGAAGTTGACGGAGGATGGAGGGGAGGTGATGGAGCCAGGTGGAGCAAGAGAGACCGCGCGTTGTGTGTCTCGGCCCCGCCACCTTTTAAAGGGCCAGCTCAGCCCCAGGCGAGGGGATGGGCTCACCGCTGCTTTCACGGGCGGGACAGTTATTTATTTAATATTAATGCTATTTGATATTTTTTTTACCTGGTGTTAACCAACCCCAGTTATTTATTTATTAACTTTCATTATTTGTCTTGTCCGTGCAGGAATGCGCGGTGTCTAAGACGGTGCGCGTGTGTGTGCGCCCGCGCCTTCACTGCGCTACCGCCACCCGAGTTCGATTCCCATTCACGACCAATAACGCTGGTGGTCAACATTTGAACCGCTCCTCAAATGGATATCGTGCGCGGTGTGTAAACATCGCCACGAGGGAAACAAAGGCGGCCGGGCGTCACGTGCCGGCTTTCATAGGTGCTCGCTAACAACACTTGCCTCACCAGTGTGTTAAAGGCTATACGGGGGACCTTTGTATTTGCACTTGCCAAACAGCACTTGCCCCAACAGTCGTGTTATGTGCAGCGATTGGATGTGTGTGTGATTGTGTCCGTGGGTGCGTCTGCGTTTGTGTGGGGAGTGGCAGCGTGGTGGTTGGCACGCTGCGCCACCAACACGGCACGAGAGTTCGACTCCCGCTCACGGCCAACGCCAGTGGCGACTCAGATGCAGCGCCTGGTGCGGTGCCTCCAACACACAGCAGCCCCTGGCGAGGGAAAGAGGTCTACTCTTCCACGCCGAGTGTTCGTCTCGGAAGGGTCTGGGCGCACGCACGCGCTTACTCCACCGCGCGCGACCTGCCGATCGCAGACTGTGCTGTGCCCGTTTATACTAAATTACTTTTTATTTTGCCACGTAAGGCTCACTCGATCGATATCACTCTTTTTTTAGACGCGACCTGGCCACATATGATAGCCCAACGAAGTGGACATTTTACAGCAGCCAAATACTCTAAAGCGTGATGTTTATTCTGAATGTGGAGGAGAAAACCGGAGGTCCCGGAGAAAAATCCACGCCACCACGGGGAGAGAGAGAGAGAGACACGAAAACTCCAAATATACAGCAGGCATCAGGGTCGGGATCGAACCCACGACCTCCTGTATACCAGGCGAGGTAGTTAACATCTCCTAGCCACCTTGATGATGATGATGAGAGAGACACGCAAACTGCAAATATACAGCAGCAGGCGTCAGAGTCGGGATCGAACCCACGACCTCCTGTATACCAGGCGAGGTAGTTAACATCTCCAAGCCACCGCGGCGCCCCATGCTACTGGGTGGACAGAGGCGGGCTGAAGATGTAAGAAACTTGGCACATTGTTTCAGCTGCCGCGCAGGAGATGGAGTCGAGCGGGCGACTCCAGGATTGTGTCGGCTCCCTTAATTTATTCGGCTAAATGCAAGTTTCTGCGTGTGCGACAAACCGGTAACCGTGTAGACCGCGGGGTATACAGACTCTACTCACACACACATACACACACGCATACACACGACTGCAGAACGGGGAGAACATTCAATATTCCACCCAGAAAGGCGTCTGAGTCGCGAATCGAACCCGGGTCCTTCATACTGTGAGGCACGAGCGTGAACCACTGCTCCTTGGCGCGTGTGAGTGAATGTGCGTGTGAGTGAATGTGCGTGTGAGTGTGTGCGCGTGTGAGTGAGTGCGCGTGTGAGTGAGTGCGCGTGTGAGTGAGTGTGGGGAGCGGTAGTGTAGTGGTTAGCGCGCTGCACTACGAACCTGGCGACCCAGGTTCGATTCCCGCTCACGGAAAACACCAGTGACGATTATCTGAACCGGTCCTGGGCCTCCCCTAGGTCGACTCAGCCTCAAATGAGTACCTGGTGCGGTGTGTAAACATCGCCGCTAGGGAGACAAAGGCGGTCGGGCGTGGTGCTGGCCACCCACCCCCTCGTGTACCGTTCTGGCCTTCATAGGTGCTCGCTAACAGCACTTGCCCCTACAGTCTGGTAAGGCTATACGGGGGATCTTTGTCTATCTTTGTGTGCGTGAGTGCGCGTGTGCGTGAGTGCGCGTGTGAGTGTGTGCGCGTGTGAGTGAATTCGCGTGTGAGTGAATTCGCGTGTAAGTGCGCGAGTGAGTGTGCGAGTGAGTGCGCGTGCGAGTGAGTGTGAGTGCGCGTGTGAGTGAGTGCGCGTGTGAGTGAGTGCGCGTGTGAGTGAATTCGCGTGTGAGTGAGTGCGCGTGTGAGTGAGTGCGCGAGTGAATGTGTGCGCGTGTGAGTGAGTGTGCGAGTGTGAGTGCGCGAGTGAATTAGCGTGTGAGTGAGTGCGCGTGTGAGTGAGTGCGCGAGTAAATGTGTGCGTGTGCGAGTGTGAGTGCGCGAGTGAATTAGCGTGTGAGTGAGTACGCGTGTGAGTGAGTGCGCGAGTGAATGTGTGCGCGTGTGAGTGAGTGTGCGAGTGTGAGTGCGCGAGTGAATTAGCGTGTGAGTGAGTGCGCGTGTGAGTGAGTGCGCGAGTAAATGTGTGCGTGTGCGAGTGTGAGTGCGCGAGTGAATTAGCGTGTGAGTGAGTACGCGTGTGAGTGAGTGCGCGAGTGAATGTGTGCGCGTGTGAGTGAGTGTGCGAGTGTGAGTGCGCGAGTGAATTAGCGTGTGAGTGAGCGCGCGTCTGCTTTGGGCGTGGTGCTGGCCCCCACCCCCTCGTGTGCCCTCCAGGCCTTCGTGGGATGCTCGCTAGCCGCACTTGTCTCTCAAGGCTATACGGGGGGGGGGGGGCTTTGTCTTGTGTGTGGGGAGTGGTGGGGCTGTGGTTAGCGCTTTGGGCTATAAATCCGGCGACCCGATTTCGATTCCCACTCGCAGCTTTTATGAGTGATGTTTATCTAAACCGGTCTTGTGTCCCCCTAGGTCGACTCAGCCTCAATAAGTACCTGGTGCGGTGTGTAAAAATCGCCACTGGGGAGACAAAGGCGGTCGGGTGTGGTACTCGCCACACCAACATGACCTGGTGGAGCCTTCCAGAAATGTGGAAGCTTATTTGAGTCAGGACACACACTAAATATCGACAGCACATTCACATCAAAACCAACAAATACAACCGCGATTGGCCACTAAGTGGCTATGACGTCACCACGACGCCTGTGCCAGGCCAGGTGCACTTTGAGGCTCGCTGACAGGTTATGAAATAGACCCAGCAGGTGCCATGGGTTGGCTAGGATGACTGGTAAATGCACTAGCTGAACCCCCTATTGTGCCAACATACTGAATTTTATCCGCCCTGCCCTCCGCTCGTTGTTGTGAGCGTCGCTCCTCTACCTTCCGTTGTTGCTGGAGGGCGACTGCCTCCAACTGCCCAGTAGCGTCCTTCACGAGCCTCCTCCACAGAGGCCGATCTTGACACCGCTGGTATCAGTCATCGGCAAGTCCACTCAGCTCCACATCCTCCTGTACCACATCACTCCATCTCTTCTCTAGCCCGTCCGTGCCCGTTTAGCCCCCTCGATCCGGCCAAACAAAAGCTGCTTGGGCATGATTGATTGGGCATGCGGGCTACATGACCCAGCCAACGCAGCCTTGCCTGCCGGAGGAGCTCACTGATGGGAATGTGTCCGGATATTTCAAGGATTTGTGAGCTCCTCACACAATCCAGCCAGGATGGATCGTTTCTAATCGGCAAAGATGTTCCATTAGAGGGGCCCACGTTTCACAAGCATAGAGAAGGGAGGGAATGACCGTGGCCGAGAAGACCCGAAGCTTCGTGCCGAGTGACAGACCAGGTAGCTTCCACACAGCGTTACGTAGCCGATGAAAAGTTTATGCCGCCCGACTGATTAGGAGTGAGACTTCGGGTGTAAAACCGCCGCACATACACACACACAACACGTATAGACAGCACATGGACACAAGACGTGTAGACACAGCACAGCCATAGAATGAACGATGTAAAGTCAAGAACACATTGCGCATAGACGGCATATATATGAAGTAGACTGCACAAATAGACATAGCACACACACATAGTTTGTTGTCATTTCCCCCGCACCTCCGATTAGCACCACGGTTGGCTACGTACGATGTGGAATAAGTTAAACATACATACATACAACAAATATACTCAGCATAGATACAACACACAAACATAGCACTATACACAACACACAGCACATAGACACAGCGCAGACACAGCAAATAGACACAGCATAGATACAACACACACATACAGCACTGTATACACAACACACAGCACATAGACACAGCGCATATATAGCGAATATACACAGCATAGATACAACACACACATACAGCACTCTATACACAACACACAGCACATAGACACAGTGCAAACACAGCACATAGACACAGCATAGATACAACACACAAACACAGCACTGTATACACAACACACAGCACATAGACACAGCGCAGACATAGCGAATATACACAGCATAGATACAACACACAAACACAACACTGTATACACAACACACAGCACATAGACAGTGCAAACACAGCACATAGACACAGCATAGATATAACACACAAACACAGCACTGTATACACAACACACAGCACATAGACACAGCGCAGACACAGCACATAGACACAGCGCAGACATAGCACATAGACATAGCATAGACACAACATACAAACACAGCACTGTATACACAACACACAGGACATAGACACAGCGCAGACATAGCACATACACACAGCGCTCAGACACAACGCGGGGAGGGCAGACCAAGTGTCTTTATTTGTCACGGGTGCGGGGGCCCACAGGGGTCCCAGCAGGGGCCCCCCGGGGGTACAGGAGGGCCGTGAGTGTTGACAGCGCTGGGAGCCCTGGAGCTGGGGGGGGGGGGGGGTGCGAGGCAGGAGGAGCACGTGGCCGCGGAGTCCCTCGCTAGATGAACGTGGAGGAGAGCACTGTGGGCGACAGTCATTGACGAGCAGGGTCACGTGGTGTGAGATCCATTAGCATTGCTTACACAGTGTTCGATCGTCATGGTCAGGTGGGTGTGCGGTTGGTTTTGGTTACTGAACCACCCCACACGGAATCATTCAA